TATATATATATATATATACAAACACTCACATTTCAGAAGCTCAGCGTAAAGTTTTTTTTTAAAAAGCTAATAGAATATGAAAATCAGATTTTAGCTTTAGGACCCCGTTAATACTTTGTTCATAAATTTACAAGAATTAGTGATTGAATTATAGTTTCATTAGACATTTAAGTTAGTGTTTCAACTATTTAATTTGTTATGATTATACTAATGGAACAAAAATAAAGAACTTACTTTCTGGATACAGAAGCTCGTAAATAAAAGATGAATTCATTTTCGCTGGTGGTCCCAGTGAAGAGGCAACCTATAAGCTAAAATATTATGTTCTAAAATATTGAAGCATAAGATAAATAATTGAAACTGATAAAGCATATATGTATCCCAGGAACATTCGATGGTTTTTATGTAGGATGATCTTGGTGGCCAAATCATTCACTGGAATGACCTAGATAGTTCTTGAAACGGGTGGATCCTAGAGAAGTTCACCCCGTGGAGAAAGTTAACATTGAGGGATTCAAACTATGGAGCGCTTTTCTGACAAAACTATTGGGAACCTATTTCCCAGATTGCTGCTATAACCCCTCTATTTTGGGGGTCAGAAATCCAAATCCGTCGAAAAGAAAAGGTATGTTTATGCAGAGAAAGTACGTTTTTGTGTCGATATTTGAGGTAACCCCCTCAAGCCATTAAGATTTAGTCCCATAACTTGAAGGTCTGATCATTAGATCAAAAGTTATTCGGGACCGTTATTTTCTATTTTTTTTGCTTTCAGTACAATTATTTTTTATTTTATTTTATAACCATCGTTGAACAGCAGACCTTATTTTTCGGATTTACGACTATTAATGTTCAACTCCGTAGCCTGATAATTTTGAACCCAATCCAGAGGACAAGGGAACTCCTGGATCAAGTAGTGGGAGAAGTTCGTCTTCGTGGAGGACTTTTTGATGGAACTTACCCGCATTTGCGTTACACGGAGAGGAAGACCACGAGAACCTACTACTGAGGATATTTCACGTCAGCTTCATATGCTACGGACTGACGGTTAGCCGGCATGGACTATGATTGAATGAATTGCGAAATAAATAAAATGTGAAAAAGACGCTTTTTGCATAATTTGTGGCGAAAATCAACCGGCTAAAAGAAAAAAAAAAGCACAAGAGGAAAAATTAAGCACTTTTTAAGTGCACCTTTAATAACGAAAATAAGCAAATTTTAAAAACGATACGCACCCCGTAATTTCATAAACATACTCTAAGTTCTTAAAATGTGCCCCCAATACCCTAGTGGGACAAACTTTGAATGTAAGAGAAAGAAAGAAAAAAACTTACTATTTATGATGTCTTGTAAGAAATACAATGAATGGAAATGGATTTTCAGTGTCAGCAATCGCAGACATAATTGTTTTCCTCCTAGACGTCAACAGGAAAATTGTTCCTAACGATGTCGTAATAAAAGGCATTGCTCTCTAAATTGATTATTTTCAAAAGAAAATTGTGGAAGGAGAAAGAAAATCGATTACATAAAGCGGAAGTTCTATACTAGGGAGTAAATGATTTACATTATTTCGATGCGAACGTCCGAATCGGTTGATGTTGCGCTTATTCGACGCCTTCTATAACTGAAAGACTTTCATACGCTTTCTGATAGGTAGCCCGATCTGACCACTATGAAAGTAAACCATTTTAAGAAAGATTTAATAGAAAATCTAGTAATAAAAAAAAAGCAGTAGCAAATATATGTCTAAAAATTTTGTTTAATTTATGAATATGATTGGTTTGTTTTATTTATTAATCACTACAGATTCAATTCTCAAATATAGATGATAAATTTCTGTCAAGTACTTTTAAAGTAGAATATGCTCACAACTGGTTCACTTTTTAAATAGTCTGCGCAGACTACTTATAAAATACCGTGTGGTGGCTTTCTAATGTAGGGGATGATGGTATAAATCAGGGATGGGGAAACTACGGCCCGCGGGCCAAGTGTGGCCCGCCGGAGGATTTTATCCGGCCCGCGGATAGAATTTTTATTTGCCGATCAGCGGCAAATATAAACAATATACATCCATTTTATTGTCGACTATGTTTAAAATTATTTCTGTTTTTCCTTTTTTAACGAAGTACTGATGACATTTTTACTTTCTCTATTTTTGTTCTATAAAACATAAATTGATGGAAATAGTTAGAACAGACAGCTTCTGTTGGCAAAATGTTGAAAGCAGAAGTTCTTTATAGAATAGCCGTAGATTGGCTCCAACTAGCGTTTGTCTTTCTCGAGGAGCTGACTTATGGAATCTAATATAGGTAAATTGTACTTCACATTTGGCAGACTGCGCATTTTACGCTCCAACGAGCGGACAATCTAACAATCATCTGAAGCAGTTGTTTCTAAATATGCCTAAGTTTGACAAATCATTATCAAAAGAACTAGCTTCCAAAATTTAAAATTTTACGCCCAGAAAATCAGTGCTATGTTAGCTTAATCTTATATACGTGAACAAGCGAGTTTTCAATTATGAACCGTAGAAAAAATTGTTTCAGAAGTAGACTAACAGAAAAGGATTTAGCCTTGTTCCTTAAAATAAGCACATCTCACTTCGAACCTTAATATAAGGAACTTTTAGAAATGAAATCGCAATTTCCTTCATCCCACTAAATATTTAAATTAAAACTTGTATATCGCTTTTTTTTCTTTCTTAAATTTTGAAGATCTTACTTGGCCCACCAAACATTTTTTTTCTTGATTTTTGGCCCTCGACCAAAAAAGTTTGCCCATCCCTGGTATAAATGAATGGCGCGTATATTTTGTCACGTATATATTTTGTTTTGTACTGTCACGTGTATATTTTCTAAAACAATTTTTTATTAAAAAATAAATTATTTTATAATTGGCGTAGAAAAGCCGATCCATTTTTGAGTTAACGAGCATCTGTGCTCAACTTCGTAGCCTTGTAATTAAGAATCAAACCCAGAAGAAGGGAACTACTGAATCAAGCATTATTGGGATAATCTATGCTTGTTTTCTGATGAAACTAATCCGCATGTTTTTACATGGAAAGGAAAACCTTTCCACGGTTAGCCCGACGGCAGGAGAATTCTAACCCACGATCTTCTGAGGATACTTCATTTTAGCACTGATGGTGCCGGGTGCAGAATTCGAACTTAGGCCATCTCATTGGGTGTTCTATCCCTCGTGGCTCATACCCTTTTATTTGACGTTAGAGTCAATATATAAAAATTAAAGGGAAAAATAATTCTCTAGTCGGTATGGCGAGTCGAGTCTTTGGCTCATAATGCGGTGGACAGGTAATTATAAAGACACCGAAGTTAAGCATCAGTTTGTAAGCGGGTGATTGATCAGCCTGCGTAAGAACCGAGGATGTGTAGTATCCGTTCTCGTTAAACTGTTCTACCGTAAAGTGCTCGATGGTCGGGTTACCAAAGCAGGGGAGCAACACCCTCTGCAGAGGATCCAAATTGCGTGTCTTCGGAATAGAGACGTTTCCTACGCCAATAGCCCAGCCCTAGTGCGACGTAAATAAAGCACCTCTACCTACCCAGATCATGACTTAGTTAGTAGTCAATTCTAACATTCAAGGTTGAAATAAATCAAAGCATGGTTCAGGAGTTTACTCAATAATTTAATTCAGGAAAACGATCGAAAAATTGGTTCCCTTAATATTAATAATTATTTTGTGTATTTCACACCATTTTTGGAACTGTTTATGTTTGTTAATCCAAATACTTTAGCTCACAATTATGAAATGACTATTTCATGCTAAATAAATTTTTTACGAATTTAATTTAATAATGGCCGTAATTATTTTAAATTGTAAAGCATACACAATTTTATTTTGTATTATTTTATAGTGTATAATGAATGAAGCACACAATTTTGAAAACGGGACTACATTCGACTTCACTGCACCTTTTACTCCATAGCACTATGGCTTTGATTCAATATTACATAATCATCTCTTTCATTCGAGTCGTGTTGGAGGATAGAGCATTCGCCTTCCAATGAGGTGACCCGGGTTCGAATCCCAGGGATGACTGGTAGATACGAATTCCGCATCCAACTCGCAATGACCACATTGCCAACGTAAAATATCCTCAGCAGTAGACGGATCATGGATAAGCTAACCGTGAGAGGTTCTCCATGTAAAGCAAACGCGGGTTAGTTCCATCAAAAAGTCCTCCACTAAGGCAAACTTCTCCGAATACTAGATCCAGGAGTTCCCTTGTCTTCTGGATTGGGTTCAAAATGACAAGGATACGGAGTTGAATATAAGTAGTTGTATACTCAAAATGGGGTAGGCTGCTCAACGACGGTTATAAAATATCTTTCATTCAATAACCCTATTCTTTTCATTCAACAGCAATATATCTTTCAATGTTGACGTCAGTATACCTGTTATTTAACATTTATATCTTTCAATCAACATGGCCATGTCTTTCAATTGACGTCACTATATCTTTAAAAAAAAGGTGCAAAATATAGGCTTTATTAGATTGCGAGAAATAGCACTTGATAATTTTTAGTAATTCCTTCTCATTAATTTAATGCAATAAAATTATGCAGTTCATAATTTATGGATAGGTAATTTCGTACATGTTTAGAAGATTCTTTAAAAAATCTTTACTTTTTATAAATAGATGAAAAGTGAACTGATCTTCATTAGTGTTAATACAGATGATTTGAACGATGCTGAAAAATTCTCTTAACAGAAATTGTGCCAAGACAAAGGGTATTTATCAAAAATTTAATAACAGGCAACTGTCTACCTTTCAAAAAATGCTTATGTCAGAAAAAGCACGCAAAATTCTACAATGCCTGTTTCATTTCCCGATTCTAATTAACACTAGAAAGACTGAAACTTAGTATAAAATTACAATGCCCAAATGCAGTTAAATTGACTGCATTGTGAAAGAATAATTAATGTGTAAAGAAATTTGTTTAAAATTAATTTTTAATATTTTTCATATTACTTACAGTTGTATAACAAGTTATTAGTAAATATTAACAATAAAAAAATGTACTTCAATTGGAAAAAAAAAATTGCATTATTATTTATACATTTCTTGCAAATGAAAAAGCAGTCAAAATGACTTTCTTGGGCAATCTAGTGTTAAGAGAAAATTTCTGTATAAAATAATAACATTTCGTTGTTGTTCCCAATATAGCCTCCAAATCCAGGAGTCCTTCGGCAAAGCCACACACCAAAATTGGTTGCAAAAAAAAATGTGCGCTAAGGTAGGTAGGTACTTTATTTACGTCGCACTAGAGCTGCACAATGAACTATTGGCGACGGTCTGGGAAACATCCCTGAGGATGATCCAATAACACACCATCGCAATTTCGATCCTCTGCAGAGGGGGATAGCTCCCCTGCTTCAATAGCCGCGAAGCCGAGCACCTTACGGTAGAACAGTTTTAACGAGAACAGATACTACAGACCCTTGGTCCCTAAGCAGGCTGATCAAAGTGGTCATCCACCCGCTTGCCGAAAGCAGCCAGTGATGCTTGACTTCGGTGTTCTACTGGGAACAGTGTCTTTACGATCAGTCCACTGCGGGACTAAAACTTAAAGAGGTGTTTCTTTATTCTGAGATATTACTGATTTGTTTCTTTATTCTGAGATACTGCAGACCCTTGGTCCCTAAGCAGGCTGATCAAAGTAGTCACCCACCCTGCTTGCCAAAAGCAGCCAGTGATGCTTGACTTCGGTGTTCTACTGGGAACAGTGTCTTTACGATCAGTCCACTGCGGGACTATAACTTAAAGAGGTGTTTCTTTATTCTGAGATATTACTGATATGTTTCTCTATTCTGAGATACTGCAGATCCTTGGTCCCTAAGCAGGCTGATCAAAGTAGTCACCCACCCGCTTGCCAAAAGCAGCCAGTGATGCTTGACTTCGTTGTTCTACTGGGAACAGTGTCTTTACGATCAGTCCACTGCGGGACTAAAACTTAAAGAGGTGTTTCTTTATTCTGAGATATTACTGACTTATTTCTTTATTCTGAGATACTGCAGACCCTTGGTCCCTAAGCAGGCTGATCAAAGTGGTCACCCACTCGTTTATTGACCACAGCCAGTGATGCTTAACTTGGGTGTTCTACGGAGAGCCGTGTCTTTACAATTAGTCCACTCCGGGACTTAAAACTTAATGAGTTGTTTCTTTATTCTGAGATATTTCTTTCTAATGCTACGTTTTACGACTAACTTACTTAAATCAGTGTCTAAAATTATTAACCATTTTAGAATTATTTCTGTTGTGAATTACATTAATATTATACTATAAATTTTGCACAATAAGATGCATGCACAAATTAAATATCAGCCTGTTTGGTGAGTGAAGATATTAAATTATGGCTGTGAGCTCACAAAATTTGATATAACAATATACCTCCACTTTTGATTGTTATTTTAAAATAATTATTACTAAACAAAATTATTTATGTTCATTAATAGATCTTTATAGAATCATAAGAGAAATATTTGGACGTGGGGGTACAAACATAAGCATACAGAACTTTTTTTTAGTACATATATTTTAAATAAATTATTTCTTTTATAGAAAAAATTGCTTTATGCCAAATTGTTTGTCGAGTGCACTATCCCCTGAGCCCCCACGGCACAGCTCACATGGAAACTAAAAAAAATAATTTTTTAAATCAAAATAAATTTAATCATTTTTGAAAAATAATCAAAACTTCGCTGTATTATTTTTTTGGGATAAAGGTAAAAAACTTTAACAGAAATGTTTAAGACAATAAAAATATGAAGGCAATTAGGAATATTTAAGATAAAAAAAAACTAACGGACAGCTATTAAAAAAAAAAATACTAAAGTTGGAAAGTTAAAAAAAAAAAAAAAAAAAAAAGAAATAGCATCTGAATTCCTAAAACAAAAATTTATACCTAAAAATAATATTTCTTGGAAAAATAATTATCCAAAAAGCATTAAAATAGATGTCAATTAGAAACACTTTTAAAAATACAGTGCTATCATAAAAAAACAGAGATTAAATACAAAATACAAAGAAGAAAAAAAAAATCAATTTTAATTTTTAACAGAAATTTTAAAGCTAAACATTTCAGTTTTCCAATTACTGTATTTTCAAAAAAAAGTAAAGATTAAAGTCTAAAAGAAACCCTCTTAATTGCTGCCTCATAATGAAAAACATCCATGAGTCTTTCAGAACATAAGTTGACAAGTTTTAGAATTAACAAATATGTGTAAAAACTATTTATAATAATGTATAGTAAAAAATACGATTTTAGCTTATTCCTTATTAAATCTATTAAAATTTCCCTCCAAAAAAATAAAATTCGAATTAATATTTTGCCGAATATTTGGCCAACCGAATATTCAGGAAAAGGGACGAATACCGAATATTCATTGTATCCCTAGTTTGTATTATTTTTTTCATTTTAAATCCGTCGTTGAACAACTCAATTTTTTGGGTATACTACTACTAATGTTCAACTTCGTATCCTTGTAATTTTGAACCAATCCAGAAGACAAGGTAACTCCTGGATCAGTACCCCCAGAGGTATTGATTTGTTATTGGAACATGGAAGACTTTGCGACTCGACAGACTTAGCATGCATCAGTCATCATTTACCACACGAATAGTCTTGGGCCGGCTGGGATCTGAGATGTTTTGAAGTACAACTCATTTTCGAATTTATATAAAGAAAAGAAAAATTAAGTTTGTTTAATAAAAGCACCACACATTAAAAATTTTTTTAAATTAATATTTAATTAATATAACAGATATTATACATTAGGTTTTGAATTGCAAATTTAATACTTGTAACTCAATATAACAAATTTTCAATCACATTCAAATATTTGGTAGTCATCCAAAACTATCATCTCCTATGTTGATACCTGGAAAAAGAAAACAATTATTTATTTAAATAAGTTTATAAAAGTTAAAATAAAAAAATAGGAAGACAAGTGGCACCTAAGCTAAGTAAAAATTCTGCAATTAAGTTATAGCATCTTTTTTAAACATATGCACGACTTAACTTTGTTTTTATACCTTTGTTCTTAACAGAAAACATGCTTAATTATTGAAAAAAGTCCTATGTCCAGAGAAATTTTTTTCTGTTGCATGATATATATAATATTTTTAAATTTGCACATTTTGACAAAAAAGGCAGTTTAAAAAAAAAGCCGTAGCCTGTATTCGTATTGCTTGAAATACACAGGGTGGGGCCACTCGAATCAGGTTTCAAATTTCCCTGATTTTTCCAAGTAAAAATCTTAAAATTTTCAGGTCAGCATATTTTTTGTCTCCATAAAGTGTAGGATGGGTACAAGAAAAGTGTTAATATTATAAAGTATTTTATTTAAAAGAATTTTTCATAATAAATCATCTTGAAAAAATAATTAGACTAAATTTATTCTAAGCAAGATTTTGTTTTTTAATGTTTTTGTACAACATTAATTTTTAAAAAGTTTAGATGGACGGAAAAAATAACATGTTTAGATTGTAGAATATATTGTTTTTATTGAATAAAAAATGTTTTAATGTGTTACTTTAAGTAGTGGCAAATATTTTCAATAAGCAAAAGAAAATAATTCCAGGCAATTATAATCAATAGATTTTTATATTTATTTACATTTCAATATAGAGCCATTTTATTTTGTACTATATCCAAACAGTTCTCTTTCTAAAATTCATTGATCATATTTACTTTAAGCCAATATCTAAAGTCAAAAATTTAAATAAGGTTTTTTGTTAATTAGCATTATTATTTCAAGAGATATTCAGTATTCAAAAATGAAATTTGCTAATGCAAAATTGCCGAATTTCTTTTTGCATATTCAATAGAAAAAAACTAGATAAAACTCTTCAAATTTTATTCTTTGAAAGCAAACTATTTAAAGAATTCAGCATTTTGGTTTAAATCAGTTAATTGGTTTGTTTTTACAACTGGGCGATTCCATGGTGCCGGACGTAAAATCTGAATATAAATTTCTAAATTGTATAAAAACTGATTGAGATATGTTTATATTAAATTTGTTGTCGGAGGTAAATCGCATAAAAGCAATTAGATTATTCATTTACAAATTATCTAAACTCTGTCAAATTGTTTGTAATTTAAATGTAAACTTGACTGAATTTTGAAGCTGCAATTTGAATAAAGAATTCTATGCAGTTCTTAACTTGTAAATATGATATATAATTTTAAATTTTTTATTTCGGTCTAGGATGTAAATTTTTCAAGCTGGATATAAAGTTAATTTAATAATAACCATTATAATGATTGAAAATTACTTACTTTTAATCTTAATATTTTTTGATTAAATATTTTCGTTAAATTTTGATTGTCCTATTTCCTGTTGGAATATATGGAGCAATGTGTTTTATAACATTTTCCCTCTTGTAAAAGTTAGTTGAATAATCACTAAATTTAATTTAAACTGTTCAGCGCATATTAACAACAATGTAAATAGAACTCATATTTTAGCAAAATTTCCTTAAATCTAACAATTTTAAAAATCCAGGAATAAAAAAAAAAACTGTTGCTAAATTTTTTTCCAGTTTTTAAGGAAAACATAGAGAAAAAAAACACAGAAAAACATGTTACTTTACATTAAAAGGAAAAAAAAAACAATATTTATTGCACTAATAAACTATAACATCTTCTGATGCAGAAAATTTAATAGCTACCAGGGTTCGGAAAAACTTCCCCGAGGGTAGTTTGTCCAACAATGTACCCGTCCTCCTTTGAAACTAACCCGTATAAATAAAAATATAATTTTCTCTTATTCATTTCAAATTTACATAAATTGCACAATGAATTAGTAGTTACTAGGATTACATTATACAATAATAAAAGAAATACTAGGTTACTAATAGTAACCTAGCATTCCTTTTATGAAATTATTTATTTCTTTTATGTAATAAATTAAATGACAAAGATCAAGTTATCTGGAATGTCAATTTTTCTGAGGGTACTGCGTTTTTTAAATTAATCAAATATGACGTCTGCCAGTTCCACAATCGAGCAAATGATTTAAAGAGGTTTCTGCACAGAAATCTGAAAGGGGTTTTCCATTTAAGTAGATGATCATAATTGCGTTTAATGCTTCTTGTTTAAGACCAGTACGTAACGTGTTTTTTTGTAAGTTCATTGCTGAAAAGCCCCTTTCAACGGCTGCAGTACTCTCAGACAGAGAAAACATCAATTCCATGGTGCGCAGTATGTAGCTGTTTCTAGATTAGAGGCTCATTTTAGAAGTGAGGAGCTAGACTCTTGTTTAGGACTGGGCTTTAAATCGATATATCGTGACATATCGATTTAACGCCTGTATCAGCAGGCCGATACTGCGACTGTCGTTCCAGGCGATGCATCAGCATGTTAAATAGTTTATGCACAAAATCTACCAAATAGCAAATACAGAGTGATCCCAAAAAACCTTGGAGAAGTATAATTTTAAATATATTTTCATTGAGCAAAAGAAAATAATTCCAAGCAATTACACATTAATAAATTTTTATATTTATTTACAGTTCAATATGAAGCTATTTTATACTGCATTTTATCCAAACAGTGCTCTTTATAAAATTCATTGATATAATTTTCTTTAAACCAATAACTAAAGTCAATGTTTAAATAATGTTGTTTTTTTTTTAATTAGAACTATTATTTTAAGAGCTATTCAGTATTCCCAAATGCAAAATTGTCAAATTTCTTGTTCTACATTCTATAGAAAAACCTAGATAAAATTATTTAAATTATATCCATTTTTTTTCTTATTTGAAATCAGAATATTTAAAGAATTTCAATCTAACTACACGGCTTCTTAGTTCAGATTAGTTAATTGTGTTTTACAAATAGGCAATTATATGGTGTCAGACGTAAAAAAAGGAACATAAATTTCCTAAAAACATTATCTTATAAACATAAAATATCATAACCTATCGAAAAACAATTTCTTTTATAAAAACTGATTATAATAAGTGCAAATTAAATGGATTAAATTATTGGAGTTGGTTGTAAATCACATGAAAGCAAAAAATGATTACTCATTTACAAATTGTCTAAACTATGTGAATTTGTTTGTAATTGAAATGTAAACGACATTTGAATAAAAAATTGTATACAGTTCTCAACTTGCAAAACATGATATATAATTAATTTGAAATTTGGTGTATGTGTTCTAAGAGGGCTGGTTGTTAAACAAATTATACTAGGTTAAGGTGGGGATAAGGTTATTGTAAATTAATCTAAAAGAATATTTAAATTGTTTCCATTCATATTTCACTTCATTTTATAAAGAAAAAGCAAAATAAGAGATGGAAATAAAAACAAATGTAATGAAAAGAAAAGCAATGGTGCCTGATGCAAAAATAATTAATAAAAAATTTACAATAAAAATATTATTATATATTAAAATCTTGCTTTAAACAAAAAATATAATTTAATTATGTTATATCCTAGTGGCACAGTACAATTATAAAATATATAATTAATGTATTAATTTATAAATATATAGTTATAATATTTGGTGTCGCACAAAAAATTCCAAAACATTAACTTAATTTAAAAAAAAAATCATAATACGAAATATTTCTAAACATTTGTGCAAGATAACCTAAAACATTACAGTTTACTTTAAATATTATTTTTTCCCTTTTCGATTATTAGTGCAAATTTTTTTTATTTTTATTTTTTAAAGTACTTTGCTGGAGATTCTCTTACCACGGTGACAAAATTCAAATGATGTAGCCCTTCATTTAACAGTCTATAACTTATTGAAAACTGATATTTATAAGTTATTATTTATAAGTTATTATTTCTAACTCTTCAAATTTCTACTTTAGAAATGATACTTTGTTCACTTAATATTAAGTTTAAAATTTTGGTCATCTCGTTGCCCAACTTAAAACCTGTACTTGTACAGTTAAAAAAAAAAAAAAAAAAAAAAAAAAAAAAAAAAAAAAAAAAAAAAAAAAAAAAANAAAAAAAAAAAAAAAAAAAGAATTTTATTTTATTCCTAATAAACACATGTAAATATTTTTTCTATACATATTTAAGTTTGTACAGCATTTAACATGTTTCCTATAGATTCCTTGTCTCTGCCATCTTTCAGAGTAGAAGGAGAAATAGTTTCGGAAATATCATCTCTGAAATGTAAGCAATATTTACTAACTTTCAACATTGTGATTAATGCAAAATTCGAATCATAAATCAAGTATTACCCAACAAAACGTAAAATTAAATGTTAACATCTAAATATTGATCTGTAAAAGAACCTTTTTTAAAAATTAAATTTGTTATTAAAGGTTAAAATAAAATCCAGAAAATTAACATCAATGGAACAATTGTAATGATTTTGTTGTTAGGGATTCAAGAAAATGCGCGATTGGTTGGCTTTGCTGAAAAAAAAAATAATTAATTGCTAACAAAAAATAATGCAAAAGCTTTAAGAAAAAATAACAAGATGAAATAAATATATTATTGAATTATAACCAATTATTCTTAGAAAATTTTATAAAGTTAAAAATACTATAACATTTTGTTAAAAGAAAAATTGCCCCAAAGCATCTGAACAAACTTGAACAATAAAGGTTCAAGGTCAAGGGATTCTCCATTCATTTAGCAACCCACGGGAGAGTTTCATATGGCATTCTAGTTTAGCAGGGTGATAATGGAGATAATTTTCATAAAAACAAAGTGGTATTGTTAAGTTGATAATATTTAAATTGTTTGACGATAAACTTCTGTCTAAATAAAGTCGGTATATGGGATGGTAAAATAATTTAATTTCAAAAACAATTTCCAGCTTTTTTTAAAAATTCCCTGATTTTTCCAGGTTTTTATCCAATTTTCCCTGATTATTCTAGGTTTTTTCCAGTACAAAAAAATTCCCTGATAATTCCAGGTTTTCAAGGTTTTCCAGGTGGGTGGCCACCCTGCAAATAAGACTTCATTACACTCAACTTCATTACATTCACTACAAATAAGATTCACATTTCACTTCAATAAAAAAAAAGCAAAAGAGATAAAAAGAAGTGTAATGAAAAGAAAAGCAGTGGTTCCAGATGAGAAAAATCAATATTTTTGGGATTGATTTTTTAATATAATTTTTAATTTTCACAAATTATGTCTAAATTTTCACAAAATAGGTACCTCTAAGAAAAACCTAGACAGATCCCTGACCGACAAAACAGTAAAATTAAATGTTAACATATTCGTAAAAGAACCTTTTTTTTAAAAAAAAAAATAAATAAAATGTGTTCTGAAAGGAAATTGTGAAAATTAGCATCAATACGATAATTGTAACGATTTGTCGACAAACAATGCTGTTAGTGATTGTAAGTAAATGAGTGATTGGTTGGCTTTGCTGAGAAAAAGTAATTTTCCGAATTGATCGAAGGGAAGTTACAAAAGGTTTCAGAAAAAAAGTCCAATAAAAAAATCTATTATTAAATTATGTTACAATAAACAACTTCTGGAGAATTTTATTAAGTTATTAAAACATTTTGAATCGTTTTGTCAAACGAAAAAATGATTCCAAAGCATAAGAAGAAACTTGAATACATTCAGCCCGTCGACTAGAAGAAAAAATCTACTTATGGAAATCGAAGAAAATATCCTAATCCATTCTTCCATCTTCACCACAATCTTTGAATATCCCAAACTGTATAGTCCCATAGTTTCCAAAAAAATCAAAGGTTTCTCTATTAACCATGGGAGAGTATCATGTAACATTCTAGTTTATCAGGGTTATAATGGAGCAAAATTTAAAGCAAGCAAAGTATTGCTAAGCTGATGATATTTCAACTATTTGGAAATAAATTTTCATATAATATTTTTAAATGCACACGTTTCGACAAAAAATAGACTAAAAAGGCAGTTTAAAGAAAAGCTGTATTCGCATCGCTTGAGATACAGCAATACAAAGTATCGAAGAATCGTTCAAAAATTTCCCACAATGGAAAATAAGATGTAAATAAAAACAGTAACTGGAGAAGGAGATTTAACTTTGAACTGTACAAGATTTATAAACTCAAACTGATATTATTAAATGCATAAAAATAAATAGAATGAATTGGATGGCCCATGTGATTTGAATGAGTGATGACAATACCATAAAAAAGATGCTACTTTTTTTAAACCCACTGGAACGAGAAAGAGGGGAAGGCTGCGGTTGAGATGGGCTGACTCAGTGGAGTCTGATTTTCTTGCAATTAATGAAAAGAATTAGACATCAAAGATAAATCAGAAGTCATTATGGAGAAATCTTCAGAGGAAGGCATTGGCCCACATTGGGCTGTCTGGATGGTAATGATGATGGAAAATTAGAAAGAAAATTGATCTCAAGTGCTATTAACTATAAACAATTCTGTTTTGTGGTACTTTAGACAAAAATGTTTCAAAATAGAACGTAATCACTATGAAGTATTTGTTTATGAGAAACTGTATTCATCTCTCATAGCACAATAATTCAAAAGGCTCTATAAAAGAAATCATTAGAGGTTTGATTTTAATATAAAACTTAATCTGAAAAGTTTGTTTCTGAGAGATTGAATTTTGCTATCTCTCATTGCGAAATCAAAACTTAGCTGCTCTATAAAATTCACATGAAGTTTTTAATATAACTTTTATGTGTTTATAGTATGAGGCATTAAGAAATGAATACATCATTAACAATTACCTATGATAAAACAACCAAAAAATAAAAACACATATACACATAAAATGTGCAATTAGAAAACAATTTAAATCTTACCTGCAATAAGATTTTGTTGTTCTTCATGACAAGACATCTTGTATTTCTTATAAAAGTAGTTGGGAATTTTACCAGACCTAAAAGAAAAAAAAAATTAAAAGATTTCTTTAATGCAAATCTTATTATAAATATAATGAATAATTATATTTATAATAAGAATATAAACATAGAAAAATTTAATTTTCATACTAGCTTTAAATAAGTATTAACCTAATAAAGCTTAAAATAATTCAAAATTAACATACTATATATATATGAAGAAGTAAATATTGTTCAAAGTTTCTATCTTTAGTAAGAAATAAATTATGCTTCTTTCAAACTAGGTGGAAGAAATTCTTCTTCAAAAAAAATTTTTTTAAACAGTTTATAATTGCAATTGAGTTTACATAATAGTATTAATTTCCATGCTGTTTAATACATCATTGTAAAAAAAAGCAACAATTAGGAATAAAAACAAATTTAATGCATTTCTAAAGAAATTAAAATAATTGTAGATCTTTATTATTTTATGTAAATGTCAGAAATAAAACACAAATTTTTGTATTTTTTAAAAAGACAATTATTATGACATTTAAACAGTTTATGCCATAATCACAATTACAAATAGCATACTTATTTTTGTAATTGAAAGTTGTTTAGTATGCAACTGAATCTAAATGATTCATGTATTTTAAAATTCTGCAAAAAACTAAAATAAATAAATTGAAAATAGTTATTTTCTTTATTAATTTCATCCAGTTTCTCAGTCTTTTTTTTTCATAAAAGTTTTTCCCACTTTCTTTCAGTGAAAGGCTGTTTCTGGACAAATGAATGGAACACAGATTTAAAAGTCAACATAAATACATAGCTCCCAGCATGGATAGGAAAAAATTCATTAGATTTTACAAAATAATACAAATTTCAGGATAATTGCTGCATAATGAACTAAATATTTTACACGAAGGAAACTTTAGGGATTTTTATAGTCATCAAAATAGAAAAAATTGCAATACTTTACAGTATGATTTCATATTAAATGCTATCTATTCTGTTTACTCATAATTTTGAATAGTAACAGGCATCAAAGATAGTTAAAATACTTTTTAATTAATTTAAAAAAAGGGATTTCAGAATTAAAAAAATGAACATTTTAGAGCAAAAAAAAAGTTTTAAGCTGATTTCTATAAGTGAGACTCACTTTATTATGTATTAGTAATACATATTTAAATATTCAATATCTGTTCAAATTAAATATCTGTGCAAAAATGCTATTTCAATAGGGAATGTTTTATGAAGCATCTTGATTGAATTCTCCTTGTTCAATTGAGTTGCTTGTCAATTGGCTGTTAGAAGATACAACAAATGTAATTCATTACAGAATTTATACTTTTAATATATTATTTTGTTCCAAGCAGAACTACCAGTGGGCAACGTTCAATTTATAAAATCAGGTATTTTGTTAAGTACTTCTTTTGTGATTGCTTCAAGAATTTAGAAAGAATGTTTTTTACTTTAAAGTTGTAGTTCAATCTTGTTAGTTTTTACCCAGCAACAGAATTTATATGTTACTGTGAATGACCGAAATTGGTGGTTGCTGACAATCAAATAATTACTTTGGTAAATGACCGAAATATACACTCGGTCAAGCGCCACTGCCCAGTGTGCATTTAACTGGTAATCTGAACACTAATGTTTCTTTTAATCTAACCTCAGATGTTAAAACGTCGAATAAATATAATAATATCAATAAATAAATTAATGTCAAATCAGATACAACAAATATTTCAGACCAAAGTGACAATATGATTGACAAAAAGTGACAAAGTGACAATATGATTGACAAAAAGTGACAATATGGATGAAAGTTGATATTCTCTTGATTTCGGTCATTCACGGTAACATATATGTTATAGGTATTTTTATTTCAACGAATAATTACAATGAAAAACACAGTCTACGAAAACAATTTTTATAACAAATAAATATTGATTTCTAAAAATGATTTAATTAAATATTATAAAAATATGTCCAGGGTATCTGCTACATTTTAGATTTTCAAATTCATGACTTTCCATGACTAATTCCAAGATTTTTTCATGACTTACTATTTTCTCCGACAAAAACACAACAATAATTTTAAAAATTATTATAATAGCATTCATTGAAATGATGCCTATAACCAAAACTGTTATATTCTGCATCTTCATATTTACAGATTTTAAATTTTAAAAAAAAGAGTAAGGAACACGAGTTGAAGCAATAAAATAGCTGAAAAAAATAAAAGAGCAAAAAAAAATTTTTTTCTGCAGATTTATATTCTAAAGATATTTTTCTTGTTCATCGGAAAGGGAAAAAAATGCTCCTGATTTCTCTGTTCTCATTTTGGAATAAAAAAAATTCGCCAAAGACTGGCTTGCTTCAGCTAAAATTTTAAATTGATAAAATAAAAAATAAATAAATAATAACAAAAATTCTGAAATCACAGAAGTTTAAAAGATCATTTGCTTTAGAAATGATGTTTTTTTTCTCCATTTTTTGAAAGAGCACCATAATTTTTAAAGAACGTGGTAAAAATATTTTATATTTTAATCAAATATGACTGTGAGTGGGGATTTTGTTACAAATTCAGATATTCGGAACACCATGAAATTGGGGGAGGGGTGAATTCCATTTAAAAAATTAGATTTTTCGGCAACCTAAATCCATAACTTTTAATGATTTTTTTTAAAAAAATAGTTAAAATCATGACATTTCATGACAAATTTTGTTCTATATCGAAATTCATGCAGGGTATCCGCTACATTTTAGATTTTCAAATTCATGACTTGTCATGATCTTAACGAAGTTACTATTTTCTCTGACAAAAACACAACAATAAATTAAAAAAAAACATTATGATAACATTAATTGAAATGATAGGTATAACCAAAACTACTGTACTCTGCATCTTCATATTTATGGATTTTAAATTTAAAAAACACAGTAATGAAAGAGTTGAAACAATAAAATAGCTGAAAAAAATACAAAAGCAAATAATTTTTCTCCCGTAGAATTACATTCTAAAGATACTTTTCTTGTTCATCTGAAAGGAAAGTATTAATCCTATTTTTCTGTTCTCATTTCGGAATAAAAAAAAATCGCCAATGACTGGTTTGCTTCAACTAGAATTTTAAAATGATAAAATTAAAAAAAATAAATAATTAAAATTTGTAAATCACAGAAGAGTTTAAAAGATAATTCCATCTAGAAATGTTTTTACTTTCATTTTTTGAAAGAACACCATAATTTTTAAAGAACATGATAAAATAATTTTATATTCTAATAAAATATGCCTGAGGGGAGATTTTGTTAGGAATTCAGATATTTGGAACAAGATGAAATTGGGGGAGGGGGGGATTCCATTTTAAAAATAAGATTTTTCGAAAGTGGTGCAAGTGGCAAAACATGGTGTTGGAGCAACAAAAAAGCAATTTTGGAGCAGCAAAACAAAGATTTGGGGCATATTTAATAAAAAGAATTAAAACAAGAATTTAATAACAAGAGTTTTTAATTTTGTTCATTTACAACATATCTTATTTTTTTACAATTTTTTGAAGGTCCCTGCATAAACAAATTAAGTTTCTTTTTGGTATCTTGCAATGCTGTTAAATATTCTGCTATCCTCGACTTAGCCTCAGATAAGAGGATCTGTCCGCTTTCTATAATCGACATGTCTTTATTATTCAACCCATCTTTAATATTTTTTTTCAGCTGTGGCTATGAGATCTTGAATCAATTTCAGCAGCAATCAATCTGCTTTCCTCAGTTTCAGTGCTTTCACATTCTTTTTGCTTTCTTTCTTCTCAGCCTCTAATCAAGCAGAATAATTTTTAAATGCTGCACGAGTCCCTTCAATCATATCTTTGTCAACTTTAAAGTTATTTAAACCCCCAGCTGATACGTGACACAACTTGTCTCAAACCATTAACACTATGCAAATTTAAATTTGCCCAATTGTCAAGTAGCTTTTTATTCACACATATGAACAAAACTAAAACCTGTCTAGTACTAAAACCTCTTTCAACATCGGCATTCCCATGTTGTATGCACAAAAGAGCTTTAAAAAGCTTTGTTATAAGAGGATATTTGATATTTCCCAAATTATCTTTCTTTGCAAAATAGTTCAAATACGCATAAAAACACATCAATTCACAAGTCATAAAATAGTTCCAAAACACATCAATTAGTGCATATTCATTTGAGTCAGAAGAATAACCCTCTGGTTCTCCACGTAACAGCAACAAAGATGCCTCTTCAAGAGTGTCTTCCATTCTCATTACAGGATTCAGCACTTTAAGATGGAACAGTGACCTATTTTCAAGAGGCAATGCTTTTAATAACTTTTTTGCACATGCCATAGACCTGGCACCTAAATACATAGAATTTTTGTCTGAAGAAGATAAGGGATTGGATTGAATGTAGGGTTTAGTGGCACTTAGTCTAAAAGAGGACATGCTGTGCCAAACACGGTAAGAAGAAGATAAGGATGTCATCGCATTTGTGGTATCTAGTCCATAATCTATTAAATTTGAATTTTGCCAAATTTCTGCGTTTTCTTCATCCAAAGATTTTTAAGTCCTTCCCTGTCAAACTAAGAAAAGCAGAACTCTTAAAAAAACACCCTAACAGTGCTTAAACTAGAGACACCATTTCATCATACAGCAAGTGAAACAATGATGTCTCAGTTTGGAAAAGACCTAAAAATTTATTTAATACAGCCGAAATATTTCTTAAAAATGAGCTTTTGGCAAAAGCAATTTAAATAAATTCAATAATGAGTGGTTCATATTATTTTTTAAATTATTAATTACATCATTTAATTCTTAAAAAGGTAATATAAAACTCTAATTAATTTAACTATTATTTAAGGTTATTGGGTGTATTTTTCTTAAAATTTAAATAAATGTTATTTGTAATAGTATATTCAACAAAACATTAACAAGATTAATATTGATCATATCGAATTTATAAAAATATGTAAAGAATTAAGCAAACTTTAATAAATTTATATTACAAATATAAATTAGTGAATGGCCCCTAAATTTTTTAAAATTATAATTGGTTATCTAGTACAGTATTTCATCAATTAAATGATTAAAAAAAATTAAATAATTTTTAAATGCAAATATAATGAGAAGTTAAAAATTTTTTCAGAAGTAAATTATTATATTGCCCCTACACTCATAATATTTAACAAATCTGTGATAATAAAATTTTTTTTATATCAATTGTTTTAAATCAAAACATTAAGAGATGAATTAAAGTAGTTTTGAATGACAAATCTGAAAAACATAAGTTTTTTTTTTGCTACTTTAAAAATTCTGAAAGCCCCTCTCTTCATACTTAGGTATTAAAAATCTTGCCTCTAAATATTTGGTTTTTTCCTAAATCAAAATAAGAGCACTGATAAAATGAAATGCACACACAATAATAAAATGCAATAAGTAAAAAAAAATATTAGTAAAAAAAGTAAAAAAAAAGTTTAAAAAAAATATGCAATTAGTGGATGGTCCTCAGATAAAAATTTACGTTTAAGATACTCAATTAATTCTATCTTTATTAAATTAAATGAATATAAGGGAGATGGAAATTTTGAGGTTTTGAAGCTTGACTGCTCTGAGGATTAACATGAAAGCATGTACTTAGTGAATGGTCCCCAAGTTAATTCCAAGATTATGGGTACTATTCTATAAATAGAATAGAGCAAGAAGGTCATTAGCTTGCCATTGACGAAGATGATGGCACTTCAATAACGATGAAATTAACAAGAGAAATAGAAAAAAATTTTGCTGTTAAAATTTAGCAATGTTTAGTTGTTCCCCAAAAATTCGAGGGAAGTTTCGGTTCCATTTCAGAGAGCGGAAAAGGAAACCTGAAATTGAGAATATCTTGCAAAATGAAGCAGAGTTCCACACGAGAGTGCAAGAATCCTTCCCACTGAATCCCGAGCACCCCTCCCCCCGACATGGCAATAGCTGGGTTGCGGCAAAATTGTGACTTGACGATACCCAGGGGAAATTATCCCTTTTGGTGCAGATCAGCGCAATTTAAGCCTACTACTTCAATTTGGAGCATGTAGGCGCAGGTTTCCACAATTGGTGCGGATCGGCGCAGCACTTGCAACACTGGAGATCTAAAATCAGGACTTTCCATGATTCTTTTTAAAAAAATAGTAAAAATCATGTCATTTCATGACAAATTTTGTTCAATACTGAAATTCATGACTTTCCATGTGAGCGGATACCCTGTAGGTATTTTTATTTCAACGAAAAATTACAATGAAAAACATACAGACTACGAAAAACAATTTTTATAACAAATAAAATTTCATTTATAAAAATATTTTATGTCATTTATTCATTTTTTTTAAAAAGAGAATCTCAAGCAGGTTTGAATGCTAACTGGCCTTGTTTTTGAGCTTATCACTATAGTCATACATACATTATAAATCTGCAGTTCTCATAACAGCAGAAAAAAAATTCGTTTTGTGATGTTTGTTAATAATTATTTCTTTAACATAAACATCTATATAAAAGTTTCTATTTACTTGTTGAGGAAATCAATAAAACTTTCTCTTGTATCGGCGACTGATGCAATCTGAAAAAAAAAAAAAAAACAAAGTTAATAAATCAAAGTTACACAGCAAAAATTAATAGAAAATACTTATCTTAAGAAACAATAATAATGATTATTTAACAGAATTAATAGATATTGAGCACTTTACCAGAAGATTCAGCTAAAAAATGAAACGAAAAATAAAAGAACTGTAAATGCAAAATATTAAATGTAATTTAGAGTTACCTTATATGTAGTATGAAAGAAAGTTAAAGTAGGTCGAGCATGGGTAAATTTTTGTATGAAAATCATTTTCTTAAAAATTTTATTTAAATCATACTTCTTAAATTTAAATCTGATTTTCATTCTTATTTACTAATCAAAACTCAGATAAAATGTACTAAAAATAATTTTAAAACATTATTTAATTACAATATTATTACATTATTTAAAAACAATATTATACTTAAATATTTAATTAAAATTATTTTGTAAATAAGCATTACAACCTAATCAATAAAAATTTAAAATCATCGGATACGGATCAATTTTGTTAAAATTCAACTGTGAATTGAATTTGTAGAGACGAAGAGAAAATTTGTCAGTTTGAAATCTAATAAAGAATAAACGAATTTAGATCACAAAATATAAAAATAATCAATTATTCTAAATTCCTTATAGCAGAATAAGTCTTGCTTCATTGTTTATTTATGTTACTGTGAATGACCAAAATTGGTGTTCAAGCAATAAAGCAAAGATATTTCAGATTTAGGTAAAGAACAGAGCTATGCAATTCAGTCAACAAAAACAGTCTATTTTAGATATGTTTTTTAAATCAAAATAATTGTTTAAAATGTAAAGAGGTAAATCAGGGTTGCCACTCAAATCTGTTCCCTGTACATATTATACACAATATATTTAGAGGAAACAACAATTAATGTGCTCCTGAGTGTGCTTTATTGGGCCAACTATATTTATTAGTTTTAATTGCTGGAAAAACAGCTGAACATACTTAAATAATGCTATAGTAAATGAAATAGTCTAGTATAGCTGAAATATCATGGTTAAATATCCCATAGATTACGCTTTGAGTGGTTACCATTTTTTAAAAGACAAAAATAAGAAACAAAATTTCCTGTATTTTCCCAATTTGTAAGTAAAAAAAGCAAAATTCCCTGCATTCTCTGTTATTTTAAGTGATTTTTATATTCCCTGTATTTTCCAGGATTTCCCTGTGGAGTGGCAACCCAGTAAATATATTTATCTCAGTTTTTCGTCTATTTTAATATATGCCCTGTGGCAGAATTTTTTCCGGCTCTCTACGACATACCTCTCCAGTACTAATATCTTTCTGCAAGATACTTAAAAATAACAAATGTACATGTTGCTAATTTAAAGTAAGAGAAACGTTAACTTCAAACAATAAATAAATTTAAAAAATCTGATCAAATAAAATAGGTAATTATTTTAATTGAATATGTAATATTTTTTTTATTCCAATATTATGGGCAATATTCTCACAATTGCTTAGGATCAAAAACATTTGCAATAATGTTGAAAGTTTTCGGGTAGCTGTGAATAATTTCTTAAATAATTTGAGTAATTAATGGTTTTCCTTTAAATTTTTGTAATGCTAATTTTTTAATTAAGAAAATGAATGAAGAATTCTAGGTTCTTATATATATTTTTTTCTTTTAACAGGGTGCAATTTATTTGTATTTCATGTTTTTTCCCGGACTTCTATACAAAACCATCGGGGTACTGAGGGAGTTAATTTAATCATTTGCTTCTCCCTCAATTAGAAATGGTTTTGTTTAAGGGCTACCGGGTCGGTACTCCCTGAAGACGTCAACTTCGGTGGTCATATTTTTATTTTCTTTGTTTCCTTTATTTTGTAGGAAGATAACCCACTAATTACTTCCTTTTTCGCATTTTGTAATTCATCATCACATTTAAAAAATTGTGAAATCTGTAGGAGTAACTACTGAAAAAAGAGAGGGATGACGAAATCACGCAAATTGGACTCTTCAAAAAAGAGGTATTACAGGGTGCGTAGCCAAATTTTTCAACAATAAACAAGAACCTTTTAAGCACTTTGAAAAATATCATAATTAGTCAGTGTTGGCAAGTTTTTGACAATTGATGGTTTTATCCAATTTTATTTACAGCGATGAAGACGATTGTGCGTCACAAATGATGAAATTAACAAGAGAAATTAAAATTTCTATCACTAATAGGTAAAAAAATTGATAATGTTTAGTTGGTGCCCATAATCAGCAAAAATTCAAGAGATTTTTCGATTCTATTACAGAGGGCAGAAAATGAGATTTTTCGATTCTATTACAGAGGGCGGAAAATGAGATTTTTCGATTCTATTACAGAGGACAGAAAATGAAGTCTGAAGTCGAGAATCTCTTGCAAAATGCAGAAGGGTTGCACATAATAGTACAAGAATCCATATTGCTGGATCCAGCTCAGTGTACTCAAGTGCAGATGAAAAGTATTTCATCAAACATGTAAAACAAATGGTGTTTTCATACACTACAGACCGGCGGTACGCCGAAATAGATTGGGGTTGAATTAATTGTGAAAACGTTGAATAGGACAATGTCTTTTTGCATAATTTGGGGCGAAAATCAACATGGTAAAGAAAAATATCACATTTCGTAAAAGGGAAAATTAAGCACTTTTTAAAAACACCCATGGAAAAAAGCACCTTTAAGGGCTCTTAAAAAACGAAAATAAGCACCTTTAAAAATGCTATGCACCCTGTACTAACTGCACGCTTTTATTTCAAGATTCAGTTGTTGTAATAAATAATATTGTGCAAAAAAAAAAAAATCGCATTTTAAAAGATATGCAGAAATCAGTAGTAATAACTGCATGAAAAAATAAAACAAAAATTTCTACAGGAAAAAAAACCTGAAAGTTTTTTACTTCATTATTCTCAAATGAGAATAGAAAATTCATTAGCATTTTTTTTCTCACTCAGATGTGGAAGAAAGGCATCTTTTGATTCTAATTCTGAAGAAAAGATAAGATATCTCTCAAAAATTTCTGCAAAAAAAAGAAGCTACATTTTTCACGTCCCCTTTCTGCAAGAACTCTGTAATGTTCTGCGACAATGTCACCGTAGGGAATATATGTATTTGCTAACAACAAGCTCACTATAATGGCTATTTCATCTTCTATAAAATGTTACAATACAGACTGTACTTCAAAGGCTTGATTCCGAATTTTCAGACATGGGAATGTTGCTGAAAACAAGCAGTTTTTTCTATTACAAAAGTTTGAAAATTAATAAAGAGGCAAAAAAGCTTTTCATACCACCCTTGGCTTGAGAAGAGCAGGCAAAAATTCGTTCAGGTAATGCTGTTTATTCATTAAACTGAAAAAATAAATCACAAAAAAATATATTAGATGTTTTATTTAGCAGAAACATTTTTTTAATTACCTCTTAACTGTCAATCTGTTTCGATGATTTGGGTACATAAATTGTCAAATTTTTATTGCAAAAATCAACTATTTAGTACAAAATAAAATATACTTAATAGTAGTTAAAAATTGATATTTTGAATTATGTGCATAAAAGTTTTAAGGTTTATTTGCCACTGCATGTGGTGACGTAGTTTTAATGTATGTTCAAGGGGGTTATTAGTTACCTCCTTTTAATATATATATATATGTATATATATACCTATTATATATATATGTGTGTGTGTGTATATGTACATATATATATATGTATATATATCTGTACATATTCTAAACGTTTGAATTACGAAAAATTAATAATGAATGAAAACTTTTTTATACATCTACATCCTACTTAACATACAACAGTTCATTAATCAAGTAATGTTTAAATTTCTGAGGGGGTTTCGTCCCCCAAACTCTCCCCAAAAACTATGCCACTGACTGCATATTCGCTTGAGACAGCAGCCACTCAGCGCGGTAGTGGTAAAGTTCGCTTCTAGTGCAGCATTACTTTAGAATTTTTTTTTAAAAAAAAAGAATAAATAAGTAATAAAAATTAATTTCATTTTTCCCCCCAAAAAAATAAATCACCTTTATAACGTTTCAAAGAACTGCACGTCATTTTGAAAAGAAAAAAAAATTTAGGTGCACAGAAACTTCTATCCTTTAATAACTTCAGTGAGTGCTGCTATCTATTGCTCTAAATTTGCCTCTACATAACTTTTTCCAAGATAGATTCAGGTTTGACAGGGATGAAGCAGAAATAAACTTCTCCTGCAGGGAGCATATAAAAATTTTTCAACAAAAAATAAGCACCTTTCAAGCACTTAAAAATATTTTTAAGCACTTTCAAAAAAATATAATTAGGCAGGGTTGGCAAGTTTTTGACAATTGATGGTTTTATCCGGATTTACCCGTCATGTCAAATAATTAAAAAAAACTTTTGGCATAGATTTTGACAATTGTCAAAAATCACGAAATTTTTAATCTGGCGTGACATTTTAGAACACCAGTGCTGCGCTTGTGCTCAAGATTATTTCGAGCATGACAGTTAAAAGGTTAATTATTTGTACTTAAAAATAAAATATACCTTGCTTCTAAGATATAAGGAGGTATTTTCTTGGTTTCTTGAAAATAACAGAGAGCTTTCTCAATGATTTTTTCAGTATCCACTTTCGGCTATAACAAACAAAGAGAACAATATATATATATATATATATATATATATAAATTGAAGTCAATTCCTGCATAGGCCAACAAAATTTTTTAAAATTTTAATTACTTTTTATTAAATAATTACAATATTTTTGCCCATATAAACTATAATTAAATAATTAAAATTAATGAATGAATTAATATTTGAAAAAACTGTATTAACATCAAGTCTCATCCACTACAAGTTTAAAAAAATGTGTTTGAACTTGAATGGATGAATAAAAAGTATTTTTATCAACGACTGGAAATTTGAACAATATAATAGGGAGAATGTGAACTAATAGTAGGAATTTAAAAAGTTGGTACATAAACACTCATGGACCAACAATACTAAAAATTATGTTTTAAAAAATCTATATGTCAGTAACTTGACGACAATGAATAATTCAATGCATACCAAACAGGTATAGAGGTGACTAGAACATGGTAGCAGAAAGCTATTTTCACACAACTGTAGATCATAGATCACACAACTAAAGACTATCGATCAAATTTTTAGGCACTGGAAAAACCAGCTAGAAAATTGAACTTAAGAGTGAATGTGGAGAAAGCAAAATATATGTATTGTGGTACAATGGAAACCATCCCTAAATTGCTTGAAATAGATTCTTTTAAATTTGAATCTGTAAAAAATTTTACTTATCTAGGATCAGAAATAAACTATCAAAATGACATTAATCCTGAAATCAGAAAGAGAATAATCACAGCCAATTGCTGCTTCTATGGTTTAGCATCATTATTGAAATCTCACTTAATAAAAAGAAAGACGAAGATTTTACTTGATAAGGTATTAATCAACTCAGTTTTGACTTACGCTTCAGAGACATGGACTTAAACAAAAAGGGAAGAGAAGTTATTAGCAACCTTCGAATGGAAGGTCCTACGAACCATCTTTGGTGCTATCCTTGATAAGAACAACTAGAGAAAAAGATATAATTTTGAAATATATAAGATCTTTAATAGTGATGATATCATTTAATCTATTAAACTAAGTAGAATGAGATGAGCCGGGCATGTAGCGAGAATGAGCCCAGAGCGAGTAGCATTATGAGTCTTTAATGCAACCCTCACCAATAAAAGGCCAAGAGGAAGGCCCAAAAAGAGATGGAAAAACTGTGTGGATGAGGGTTTTGCCATCCTAAAAGTAAAGAACTGGAAATCAATTGCTGGGACAAGGGCAGAATGGGAAAGGCTTCTGAGGAATGCCCAAGCTCATAAAGGGCTGTCATGCCAATGCTGATAGATCATAGCAGAATCTGCAAGGATTTCTTAAAGAGATCTCTGCACATTCTTGTGTTCACAATGAACAACAAATGAGACACATAAAAATTAAATAACTGTTGACAATTTATAAATATGAAACTTTTTCTAGCTTCTAGATGGAATTTGCTTTTTTAAGAGAAGCATTTTAAGCGATGAATAGAGAGCTTTCATCGTTTATGAAAAATCTAAACTGAAAACATTCATACAGTGTAAATTTAAGGCATAAAAATTTTCAACACAATAATTAACCTACCCAGTCAGATAAGTATAGTGATGGATAAAATATATTAACTAAGAAGTTCCTGTAAAGTTTGGTTTTTATAATCAATAAATAAACATGAAGGTAGGTAGGTACGTATGTTATTTACATCGCACCAGAGCTGCACAATGGGCTATTGGCAACAATCTGGGAAACATCTCTGAGGATGATCTGAAGACATACCATCTAAATTTTGATCCTCATCATAGGGGACGGCTCCCCTGTTTTGGTAGCTCGACGAACTGCATGCGAAGTCGAGCACTTTACGGCAAAACAGTTTAACGGGGAGCAATACCGTGCACCCTCGGTTCCTACGCAGGCTGATCAAAGTGATCACCCACCCGCACACTGACCCCAGCAGCCAGTGATGATTAACTATTGTGTTCTACTGGGAAACGTGTCTTTATGATCAGTCCACTGCAGGATGTAACAAACCTAAAGAGTTGAGAGGGTAATGAAATTTTTCATAGTTTCTCTATAGCAAATGAACAAAAATAAACTGATAAAAAAAGTTTTTGAACTTAAATTAGGGAGCTAAAGTATGCAACAAGAAAGCAATTGATTGAGGATATTAGAACACTTTAAGTTTAATCAATTTTGGGGAAAGAGGAAAAAGACATCGCTAATATAAAGAAATTTAATTTATTTTAAATCAAATGAAACCTCTAATAAAATGCAATGTGAAAGATTGAGACAACCAAATTAACACTCATAAAAATGAGAAACAAAGAAAAAGTCTGAAATTAGCAATAAACTGAAAACTTATGGAAAAATAAATAAAAAAGTCAGTGAAACTGTTTTGTACAAAAAGAAAACATTTGAATTATCTACATACTTCCGAAAAAGAAAAGGGTAATACTTTGTGCTATGTAGATTAAAGCAAAAAACAATGTGAATGAAACACAAATGCAAGTACATAAATTGACATACAATAGTTTTCGTTCAACTGAACTGAAACTGTAATATGTCAATTTATGAATTGTTATTTGTGCTTTATTCACAATCGTTTTTGCTTTATTTACATATTTCTTTAAAGTTTTTTTTTAAATACTATAGATTTATATTAACAGTCCAAGGAGCTGATGTACACAAATTCTGATTAAAAATAATAAAATAAAGCAACAAAGTAATGTTGAAATACAAATTCTTCTAAAGTTTGGAAGGCTTAAAATAAGTTAAAAAATTTACCTTATTAGGATACAGATCCAAAGTTTAAGCTCTTATAACAATTATGATAAGTTTAATTAATAGCAAAGTTTTATAGTAAATTAAAAATTGTCTCTTTAGAAGAATTAGCATGAATTGATGCAAACATTTTCTATAAATACCTTAAAAGGTAATTTTTTCTAAGCAAAAAGACTAATTTTGGACATTCATGCTGCTAATTAAGATAATCAGCATCTTGTTTGTCATAAAATCGATTCTAATAAATTTCGCAATTTAAAATATCGGCCACACCAAATTAATTACATGCAGGGTTCATACTCAAAGAGAAGACATTTTATTCCCTGATATTAGGTTTTACAGGTCAATTTACATGAAATTCGTAGTCAGTGTTAAAAAAATTAATTACAAAACTGAAATTTATATTTTATAATATTTAAAACAAACAAATTTAACACAATCAAAACATTATATAAATTGAATTACTTTCAAAGATAATAGAAAAGTTATTTAAAAAAATGGAAAGTAAATTCAACATGTCAATAAAACTAATAATTTAAACAATTTGATTTTCAAATAAATAAATAAATAATGTATTTAAAACATTAATGTAAAAATCAATGAAAGATAATTTGTTATGCATTACATATCAGAATCGACAAATTTAAAATAACAATATAAACAAAAAAAATAATTATAATAACAATAAAAGAGGGGGGGGATTAATAATATTGTACACTTTATTAATTAAAAATATAAAAAATGAAATTGCATTGAGAGATAAAATGCAGGAGAGTAATTGAACAACAAAAAAAAAACATTTTAATTCTTAACTCATTTTGAATGTCGAAAATCTCAGTGCTTTATATTACCATGATAAAGAAATGTTGTGAACAAAATAGAAAAGGAACACATACAAAAATTCATAAAACACATGTAAATTAAATGCCCCCTGTCAAAATTTCATTTATTATTGAATTGTTAATTTAATACAATCATCATGTACACTAAAATGTGTAAAAATTACAAATTTATTATGTACACAAAAAGAAAACTTAATGTCATACCAATTTAAAAATTCAATATTATCTTTAAATTAGTAATTGGGATCAATATTTCTTTATGACATGATTTTATCACATTGATGAGGATCTGTCAATGACTGTCTTAAACTCAGATATAAAACTTGATTAGAGTATTGATCTGTATTGATCTACAAATAAAACAATGTACTAACACAGGGTTGCCACATAAATTTCGAAAAAAGTTTCCTGTGTTTTCTCCTGTGTACATATTATACACAATACATAGTTCTTTATGAAATAAATTAAAACTTTTTTTAGGTGAGATTTCAGTGTATATTAATATAAAAGAAATCACAAGACTTTTGAAGAAATAAAATTAATTTAATATAAAAATTACCAAATTAAAAATACCGTGTATGTTCCGAACATGGCAAAAAGTTTCTCAATATAGATAACCTTCTTAGATGGACATATATCATTAGAAAATTACAGATTTCTTTTGTTAAATAAAATACTGAGTAAATTGTGATTGTTCAATCATTTTTCTCTTTAATATTTGAAAATTTTAAAAACTTAGATTTCATTATAAAATTAATTATTCTAAATTAGTTTTAATTTAGATTCCAGGCAAAAGATGTGGTAATTCATTGCGATACACCCGTAATTCACCGTGTTGTACCACTGTTTTTAAGATATCATTCTAAGAAAATAAAGACAGAAGGGTTTTGAGCAATTCTGTCTCACATCTTCATAAATGGTAGCATAAAAGAATCTCAATAACATGCGATTTTGTGCATTTATAGTTCATTTAAAAGAAATGCTACAATCTAATTTTTTTTTGTGTTAGGTTTCTTTACCTAATAAAATTATTCCAATAAAATACATGCTAATAATTTAAATATATGTTTTAATATGAAAAATTATTTATCTACAGTTGAAAAAAGTTGCTTTTAGCATTCGTTAAAAAAGCATTAAGAAAGAAAAGCAAATTTACCTGCAAGTCTTTCACTCTGGTTTTTAACAGAACAATGTAATCCAAATTTAGTGGTTGACATTCCAGTGGCACATTCAAGGGTCTTTCCAACATAATCTACATAAAAAAATTTTTTTTTAGAATTTATTAAAAAAAAAAGAAGAAGTGATAATAAATTAGCATGAATTATAACAATAATAAAGGAAACTCTAAACCCTCAGCTTTAGAAATTCTAAAGAGCCAGCATAAATTTTACATCCCGTTATGTCGCAGGTGTTATGTTGGTTTCATGCATATAAACCTTAAATTTTGGTATGTGCTGGGACCACATGTTTAGGGTTTTTCTCCTCTTTTCATTATAACATAATACATAATACAATTATTTTGTGTCTGAATTGCACATATGAGTTATAAAATTTATCATTAAAAATTATAAAATCCATCATTACTGATTTATAGTAAGACATTTGTTCCTTTATTTTATATTAATTACTATTTTAATGATTTTTAACCCCTTAATAATTCATTTTATACATCAATTATCACTCATATCGGTTACCCGTATTTTCCTTGCACATATTATACACAACATATAATGAGGAAACACACATTCACTGTGCTATTGTATGTTATAAGGATAACGATGGTAGCTTTAGTTGCTCGAGAAACTTAGTGAAATAGGAACGGCTCAACATAAAAGAAATAATGCTATAATAAATTAAATAATTAAATATAGCTGAGCTATCACCTTTATATACCCCTCTCAAAGCACAAATCACTTTGAGTGGTCTGCATTTTTTAAAAATTCCCTGCTTTTTCACAGTTTGTAAGGAGAAAATTTGAAATTCCCTGCATTTTTCTTGCTATTTCAGATGATTTTTAAATTCCCTGTATTTTCCAGGTTTTCCTTATTCTCCCTGTGGAGAGGCAACCTTGAGTTAGTTGCAACAAAAAAATGGAATCATTCATGCAGCAATACTTCTTACAGCATAGTGAGGCCTTTCAGACAATATATTTTTTTTTTCCTGTCGTATTTTGCAGATGCAGAAAACCTGAAATCAGTTATACTGTAGCAAGCATAATCATTATTTTTTTTTTATAATCTTGATTAAACGATTAAATGCTGCTATATGACTCGGGAGGAACCAAAAAAAAAAGGATATCAGCATTTTGTGGTTGTGGAAGACAAACCATACGAGAAGGAAAAAAAGGAGAAATGAAATCACTGGTAGTGAGTTCACCTCAGTTGAGCTAAATCTAGAAACTGAATAGCACCAAGAGAAGGGCTGGGATAGTTTTAGGAAGTTATAAATAAATGGGTAAGAAATCCTTGTCATAAAATAGAAAGAGTTCATCCAACATTCATATGGTAAGTCTGAGGCCGTCTGCTGCTATGGAAACAAGAATAGCTGCTCTTCACTCTAGGACTATCACAATAGAATACCAGTCTCTTGCTGACCAGAGCTGAAACCTGTCTTAAAGGGTGCCCCCTCACTTAGGATAACATAAGGCCTTAATTAGGATAACATAAAAAGATTAATAGAAGCTTTTTGTGTTACACACACAGATATATATATATATATATCATCCAAGTTATTTTATATTGAGAAGAAAAATAGTTGATGAAAATGTTGAAATTTAAAATGTCAAAAAGTTAAAGAAAATGAAATTGATAAGACAAAAAAAGTGATTGCAACCAGTGGCGGCATTCGTGGAAGGCCCCAAAGCATTTGAAACAATGAGAAACTTTTTGCAGAAAGTGAGCAGAAATGAACTGTGTTAAAAAATGAACTGCGTTGTTATTTTTTTTGTAAATATTACATTAAGTAAATAAATGTTTTATTAAAAATTATTTTTTTAATTATTAATTTTTAAGTCCATTGCTTCTTTATTAATTTCCATTAGATTTCTGAATCATTATTTAATATTTCATGTTGATTAATATATAGAATTTGATTAGAAAGATTATAAATAGAATAGACTATAATATAGAATAAATAGATTATAAATAGTAAGATTTATTGTACAGAATGAAAAATGTACCTTAATAAAATCAATGTTTTCTTCATAAGGTAGTAAATCTGAAAGAACTTGTAGTAGAACTGAAACAACTTCAGGATTTCTTCCTTGAAGATTACTTCCAATATTTGTCTAAAAACCAAAATAATAATTTTATCGTTAGCTAAAATTACTCAGCTTGAAAATTTAGATGATTAAAGAAATTAACTGCTTCCCCCACCAGTTTTTTTGAAAACAAATGCAAAAAATTAACATATTTTTTTTATATTTCATTAATAAATACAAGGAACTAAAGCAAAACATACAAAAGTTTCAAGTTGAATTTTTAAAATTTTTTATGTGTAAAAACTATTTAATTCACCATCAGTTTACCATACCGAGTTATCTCGGTCAATTAAAAAAGTTAAATATTATTCTTTGAATGATAGTTTTTAAAACAATGAACAACACAAAGTGATAATTTCCAAACACTAGTGAAGTGATACGCCAGTTTTTGTTTATTCTTTTTTTTTTTCTATGTAAATTCAGCAACCATTGTATATGCAACCGCACAGATTGTACAGTCCTACAATCCAACAGCAAATTTCCAAACACAGCAGCAAGGTTTGTCGATTTAAATCAGCTTGATTTAAATCAACTGATTTTACGTACATATATTGATTTAAAAAGTTAAAAAACAGTGTTTTAAATTAATGATACTTTTATTATTTTCCTTATTTAGTTTTAAATTTTTTAAAAATAAATTGCTGCATTAATTAGTTTTAGTTAACGAAATTACTATATTTCTTGATGCGTGTTAAATTCCAACACATTTGAAATTACATTTTAAAAAATCTTTTGATGCTTGAGATTAAAAGTACAGATTAACGTAAACATTTAATGTTGTTAAAATCCTACCTTTTGATTGAAAAAGTATGCAATTAAAATCTACATTATATTTATTAGTGGAAAATGTATACTTGAAAAACTTGAGGTTATCTTAAAAAGAAATTATCCTTATATACCAAAAATAGGGTTTAATTCGGTTGCTATGCATTCAAAGCTATGTATTATAATGAAAAATTGTTTTAGATAGTTAGAGCTTCTAAAATATTGTTATAAAATAGTTTTAATATTAGTTTAATTTTGAATTAAACATTTATAAAGTTTTTTTAAATCATAAATGTGTACTTACAGTGTATTAAAATAAAAAAATCATATTTAAATAAAAAAAAATCTGATTTAAATAAAAAAATCTGATTAAAATAAAAAAAAATGATGAACCCTGCACAGCAGATTGTGTTTTGTTTGCTCCCAGTCAAGTAAAAACGTGATAAAACAAACTGACAAATTCTGCAATGCCTGAGTTTTCTTGGGATAATAAATATTTACAATATGAACATCCTCTAGTTTACTCGGGATAATCGGGAAAACGGTTAAAGAGAAAGAAATTAAATGAATGAAGAAATTAAGGAAATTTTAAAATGATTAAAGAAAATAAGGAGAAAAAATAACATAATATTTCTACCTGAAACCACGATATATAAGAAGCAGCAAAAGAATCATTTTTAATTAATGTGATTAATCTTCCAATCAGCAAAGCCCTCTGCAAGCTTTTTTGGTGAATATGCTCAAACCCATCTTTCAGTAAAATTGTAATCATTTCTGTGGATTTAAAATGTATGTTAAAAACTTATTCCCTGGATGTTATACAACATTGCATAAGAATAATAGTGATGCTGATATTTATAATAACATTATATGCGCATGATTACAGTTCCTAATTGCATGTTCATTTTGTTAAACCTGTCAAGTTAATCACTCTTCAAAGTTCACCACCTGACTTTTCATGAATAATTCCAAGAAATTTTCATGACTTACTATTTTCTCCACACAAACACAACAATAAATTTAAAAAAGCATTATAATAGCATTAATTGAAATGATAGGTATAATCAAAACTGTTATACTCTGCATCTTCATATTTATTGATTTTAAACTTAAAACACAGAGTAAAGAAAGACTTGAAGTAATAAAATAGCTGAAAAATATACAAAAACAAATAACTAAATACTGCGAGATATATGAGGCTTTTTAGAGCTGTTTTATTTCTTCTTTAAAATAAGTGTAATATAAAAAGCCTAAACTAGAATTTTAAATTGATAAAATAAGAAAATAAATAATAAATGAATAAAAAAATTCTGAAATTACAGAAGTTTAAAATATAATCCACTTTGGAAATGATGCTCATTTTTTGAAAGAACACAATAATTTTTAAAGAACATGACAAAAACATATTTTAATAGAATACGACTATGAGTGGGGATTTTGCTACTAATTTAGATATTCGGAGCATCAGAACACTGTTAAACTGGGAGGGGCAGGGTAAGTTCCATTCTAAAAATTAGATTTTTCAGTAACCTAATTTTAACCTGATTTTATATGATTTTTTTCAAAAAAAAAAAATAGTTAAAATCATGACATTTCATGACAAATTTTGTTCAATACCGAAATCTGTGACTTTCCAGGTGTGCAAATACCCTGTACACAACAAAACCTTCGTAACCAGATCATCAATTATGTATGTTGACAACAAAATTAATTCCAATTTGTCAAAGAGTATAATTGACTGCCATTGTAAAACCTTCATAAGTTGACCAAGAAGAAAAAACCTTTCTAAGAAATTTTTAATGCTATTATAGTAAATAACAGAAATTCATTGAATTGGTAACAGAATTAAGGGCTAACTTAAAGCTCTTAGTGAGTAGAAAAAATAGGAAAACTATTGAGTTACATAACATTGCATTACATACATTATTCGTACATATATAAAAATAACATGATATAATAAAAAAACAATGACTCGCTCTTTCCATAACTTGACCATTGTCAAAATTGACCCTTATAAGTGGTCAATTTACATAGGTTTTACTGTACTCCTATCTTTCGATTACATCAATTTTATGAATCATCAAAGCATCATGAACCATTAAGGTATTTAAATTGAATTAGTTTCATCAAGACTTGCCACAAATTTTACTATTGCAATTTTAATTCATTTTTAAGGAAATAAATCGTGAACATATTTTATAAAAAATATTTCGTACATTTTATAATAAACCATTTTCATTTTTGCACCATTTTCTTTATGCAAGATTATTGTCCATGCAAAGTTTTGTCTTATAAAATTATGCCTATTTTCCAGAAATCTAAAACTACCTTGGCTCTAAAACTTCGTCAAGATAATGGCCAATTTTTGCTTCACTTTCACATTTTTTATGTTAATATTTTTTGAAATGATGAGTGTTTTGAGGTTTGGAGTTGGATATGTTCCAAATGTTAAAACTTTTATGTTAATATTTTTTGAAATGATGAGTGTTTCGAGGTTTGGAGTTGGATATGTTCCAAATGTTAAAACTAAGTTAATTAACTGTATTAGACAAATCTTAATACACAAAAAGAGAACAAAACTTCCAAGGTATTTTCATAAGAGAGCTAATCCTACAACAATTTTAGCTTTGTTTGATATTTAAATTGAATTAGTTCCATCAAGACTTGACATAAATTTTACTATTGTAATTCATTCAATATTTGTAATTTATTTTTAAGGAAATTAATCATGAACATATTTTATAAAAATATTTTTGTAAACTTTTTGAAAAGTATATATATTTTAAAAAAATATTTTGTATATTTTATAACTAACATTTATCCATTTTCATGTCACAATTTCTATACAAAATCTTCCATCTAAACAAAACACCATGAAATGAATGCTAATTTTTATTTTTGTGCCATTTTCTTTAAGCATTATTATTGTCCATGCAAAGTTTTGTCTCATAAAATTATGCCTATTTCTCCTAAAATTGTCTTATAAAATTATGTCTCATAAAATTATGCCTCGGCCAATCTTTATTTTTCTTTCACAATCTTTATGTAAATATGTTTTGGAAGGATGAGTGTTTTGAGGTTGGATATGGTTCAAATGTTAAGCTAATTAGATGCATTAGACAAATTTTAATACAAAAAAAAAAAAGAGAACAAAGCTTTTAAGGTATTGTCATAGGAGAGGTAATCTTAGAAACTCTTGTCAGCAGCAAAAATAGACAAATCTTAAAATGTTTCTTTGCAGAATTGATTTTTACATTTTTAAAAAGGCATTTTTTGCAATTTACAAAGGATTTCTTTGCTATACCTCTGTCCCTCTTATTAACGAAAATAAGTTAACTTATCTCCCGTTTAGGTGCACACATTTCAGTTGAGTTCATTGAAACATATTTATGGATTTAACTTTAAAAGGACACTTTTTGATAGTTTTAAACACTGTCTTAAAAGAAAATCAATATGGGATTTGTTCTGAGCAATGCCATCTAGTGTGTGTTTTTAAAACTAAATTGAAGAGAAAAAAACAAGCCTGTAGTGTACAGCAGGGGTGGTTGTATTTCAGGTGTAATTCTGGGCCTTTCGTATCAATCTTCCAGGCCCACTAGGTAAACTAGGAGCAGTGCATGTGATTTTTTCGTAGAATTTCGCGTAACTATTATTCATAGACCACCGCAAATCAAAACTTATAATCAGACGAAATTTTCACCTTAATCTAAAACTTAAAGTAGGAATTAAATTCCACATTTAAATTTCGAAATCTTCGCTAAATCGAATTAGGATGTTTTCATACAAGCGGCTCTTCCGTAATTTAGATTTTTTGCTTTGTTTTGGTTTGTCGCAATTTAACAGTTTTTAATATTTGAAACTACGCCAGAATCTGCTAATATCGCGAATCATAATCACACGATTTTAATATCAAGCATAGATTTTCGTATTATCCCAAATATAGTTACTTATTGTGAATCATATTCAAATGATTTAAGAACCATACATCGTGATTCGTATTCACATCATATAAAAATCCAATATCACAATTTGTATTTACACGTTTTTAAAACCAAAATAGTGATTCATATTCATGCAAATTTAAAATCCAATATCGCAATTCATATTCACGCAATTTTAAAATTCAATATAGCGATTCATGTAAGTACTAAGTTTTTTCCAAAATTAGTAAGTATAAAAGGGTGATTCCATAGTGTAAAAAATATAAAAAGTGTTATTATAGATCTTAGTTCAAAAAATAAGATCAAAAGTGAAATTTGTATCTTGTTATTGAGTTATATCACAGAAAATTTTCAGATGTTTTCACCTTGTGTCACAATCATCCCTGGTACAGAAATCTGTTTCCTATCATGTGTTGAGTTCCCCGTGGCAGAAACGTGGCGACAAGGTGACATTGTTGCAGAACATTACTGAGTTCCCGCAGAATTTTTCAAAATATTTCTTTTTCTACAGAATTTTTCTTCTCCCCTTTCTACAGAATCATATTCAGATAATGCCTTCCTCGCATATTGGAGATGAAACGAAATGCTAATGACTTTTTTTCACAACTTTATTTTAAGAATAAAAAAATTCTGCAATAATTGGCTTTAGCTAGAATTTCAGATTGATATTATAAAAAGAAATTTCCAAATAGCGAAAATTTAAAAAAGGTTAACAATCCGGATATTTTTTAAGAACAGGAGAATATTGCCTATACTATTAGAATATGTATTCTTTTATAATTAGATTTTTAAAAAAATACTTACATTTATAATTAAAAAATATATATATACTGTTCGTAAAATTATATATACTATATATGAAGGCTTCTTTTGTAAACAGAAAGCGCTTTTGTTTCTTTAAATTAGCAACATATAGATTTGCTACTATTAAAAATGTCTCTCCCAATGTCAAGTCCAAGTGATTATTGATATTAAATATGGTGGCAAGTGCAATGCAATCATTAAAACACAAGAAAATGAATTTTAAAAATTGCAAGAAGTAGGAAAATTAATAATTGCCGTTGAAAAACAAATAATAAGAAAATAACTACAAATGAATGAATTATATATAAATCAGGGTGCACAGCCAAATCTTTCATAAAAAAAGGAGCACCTTTTAAGTACTTTTTAAGCACTATATACATTAACAAAATGCAAAATAATTTTCAACGACTTTACATGATTATGATAAAATAACTACTAGTTACTAAAAAAGAACATTTTCTTGATTATATTAGCCATTATAACGATATTTTTTGGTTCAATATCAGAGGGTGGAAGCTTAAAATTTAGAATGTCTTTTGCAAAGCAGAGTTACACATGAGAGTGCTCACAGAACCTAACTTAGAAAATGCTGAATAGAACAATGGGAAAAGCACGCTTTTACATAATACACCAAGAAAATCGACATTCCCTTTTCGACTAAAAAACACCCCATGAAAGAAAGCACCTTAAAGAGATTTTAAAAAACGAAAATCTAAAGTTAGCACGTTTTAAAAATGCTAGGCACTATGTATATATAAAAAAAAATCAAATTAAATTAAATGACATAGATTGACAAAAAAAAAAAAATTTTCAATTAAAGAAAATGACTTTTTCAATAACCTGTAATCAGTGATGATTTGTCTTCAGTAGATCGAGAGAGGGCAGAAATGATAACGGAAAAATTCCTCCAGTTGTTATCATCATTAAAAAGAGATTGCATTAGAGTGAACTTAATTTCATCATGCTTCAGAGTTTCTATAAACTGCAATGATATCAAATGACCATTAAGTATGAATATGCACAGAATCTACAGACATTATAAGAAAACTATGGAAATAAATTTGAATAAGCTTTTTTTTAAAATCTATTTCATTTCTTCAACAAACAAATTCAACAAATAACTATATATTTTTAAAAAATACTTTCTATTTTATCCTTAATTTTTATCAATGATATATCAGGGTAAAATAAATCAATTTGTATATAACATGGTAATAAGTAATTTCCACCTTAGAAATTAATTATTTTGTATTCATGTACTACATAAAGAAATCATCTAAAAATGTTCCGTTAAAATTATAATTAATTAAATAAAATTACTTAACTTTATAAAGTAAAATAAAAAAAATTAATATATTTTGAATGTTTTTAAAATACATACTTGCGAATATTTTATCAAAGTAAATTGTTTTGGGCATCATCAAATGAAGCAAACTCAAAGCGCCATCAGAAGTCAAAAACATTGAGTAACCAAAAATTAAACTAATTAAAAACTCATTTTATCAAAAACTAAATAGAATAAGCTAACTTTAAGTTTTTTATAACAACTAGGGTGATAAGCTAAAGTTTCGATGGAATGAAAACAAGCTAGATGGGTTGAAAATTTAGTTATTTTAAGATGGGCTTCACAATGTATAGTAAAATATTTCTTATTTCATGATGAAACTTGAGGTTTTTTAAAAATTGTACTTTACTCGTTACCCACATTGTTAAGCTGTAGTAAAGTTTTAATTCAATGACACATTTACACTGATGCTCAATATTTGTTTTACTTTAAACGAATACAGATGTATTAAACCAATATGTAACTGAAGCAAAAACCAGAACAGGGTGGCCACTCAAATCAAATTTCCCTGATTTTTCCAGGTAAAAATCTTAAAAATTCCAGGTCTGTTTATTCCTTATAAAATGCAGGATAATTACAAGAAAAGCGTCTATATTATAAAATATTTTACTGAAAACGTCATTTTTTAACATATCACGAAAAAATAATTTATTTTGACAATTTGGCAAGATTTTGTTTTTATTTTTTAATGTTTTGGTACAAAATTAATTTTTAAAAAATAAAGACATGTGGAGTAAATAACATGTTTAGCTAGTAGAATATATTTTTTACTTACAATACAAAATTTTTAATGTGTTACTTTAAGTAGTTTTTGCTCAAAAAATCTATCTACCAAAAGGCAAAAACATAATGACTAATAAAACCATGGATAAGTATTGTTCAATATATATTCATTAAGCAAAGGAAAAATAATTCCAGCTGATTATATATCAACAAATTTTTATAATTACAGTGGCTCCCAAAAGTGTTCGTTCACTTATAACTTTTATTGAAATAGGAAATAAAAGTTCACAAATTAAAATAAATATTTCAGAATGGTATTTGATAATAAGATGTATAATCTATTCTTATCAAAACTGCATAGGATATTTTAAAAACAAAGCAAAAGTTTACTTTTAAGATATCAATAAGCAAATAGTAACAAAAAGTTTACCCCACAAGTAAGTTTAAATGTTTTCGGATTGCAGAATTAAAATTGTCTATTAATTAAATTTTTTTACTTAATTATTTTTCATTTAATTTTTTATTTATTTATCTAGAATTTAGTATCAAACTTATGAAAGTAAAACTATATTTTAATTTTTGCATGCTAACACAGTAATATTTTCCTTTATCATTTAAAAACAGCTCGTGATCATAATAAAACAATAGACAAAATTCGAAAGTTTAGGATTTGTCATCATAAGAGGTAAATCAGTAATGAATATTGTTAAATTAGTTGATTGTGTCCTATTGCACTGTGCAATATGTGATAAAATGCTTAAAGGAAGGACTTCATATCAGACATTAAAATTATAAAATTTGTGGAAAAATTCATAAATTCACAATTGAGAGCTGTAAAAGTTTCTGTAAAATTTAATAAAAAATATTCTATTTAAATTTCCCACGACAAAAAAAAACTAGTTACATTTATTTAAAAAAAAAAAACTTATAAAAGCAATTGTAGATGCAAAAGGAAAGTACTAAATATTACTAATTAGAAATATTAGAATATTTACTAGGTAATAGGCAGATATTTCTTTGAAAGTGTACGATGACTTTTGTGCAATAAAGTTTCTGTTACTTTTTGATGATTGATTTTTTAAAAATAAACCTTTGCTTTGTTTTTAAGATATTCCCTACAGTTTTGATAAGAATATAGCATACTTTTTTATAATTAAATGTCCATTCTGAAATATTCATTAAAATTAATGGATAGTCTTACTTCATTGAAAGTCATAAGTGTACCAACACTTTTCTGAGTCACTGTATTTACTTTTCAATATAAAGGTGTACTGTAAACTGTATTTTATCTTAACAGTGCTTTTAATAAAATTCATTGATCATATTTTCTTTAAACCAATATCTTTAGTAAAATTTTTAAATAATGTTGTTTTGAATTAGCATTATTATTTTAAGGGATTCAGTATACAAAAATAAATGTTACAAATGTAAAATTGTCTAATCTTTGTTGTATACTTTGTAGAAAAAAAAATAGATAAAATTCTTTAAATTTTATACTTTTTTTCTCTTCTTTGAAATTAAAATATTTAAAAAATTCCAATCTAAAGACATAGTTTTCAGTTTAGTACAGTAAATTGTTTTAGTTTTAACAACTAGAATCTCATACAGCACAGAACTAAAACACTATGCTTCGTTTTCCTTCTTTCTATTAAACACATCTGAAATTTTTTTTATATATATATTTTATATTTATACATCATTTAAAATGTTTCCTACACATTTTTTACTCTTAGTCAGTATTTTTAGGGTAAAAGGAGGAAAACTTTTGGAAATATCATCCCTGGAAAGCAAGCAACATTTACGAACTTTCAAAAGTGATAACTATACAATTTAAATTTTAAATCAAAAATCAAATATTTACCAACAAAACAGCAAAAATTAAATATTAATATACAGTAAGTTCTTAAAAAACTTTTTATAAAATTAAAATATGTTAGAAAAGGGTAAAATGACATAGAAATAATTAGCATTAATGCAAAAATTTGTCGACAAACATTGCTGTTTGCGGTTGTTAAAAAATGTGTGATTGCCTTCGTTTGCTGAGAAAAAATAACTTAAATATTTCTTTGAATGGGAGTATGAAAGCGTTCAGCAAAAGAGTGCAATATGAAATCTATTATTATTAAATCATAAGCAACTAATTTTTGGAGAATTTTATAAAGTTAAAAATACAAAAATATTTTGAATCATTTTGTCAAAATAGAAAAGAATTACCACCAAAGAATCAGAACAATCTTGAGCCATAAATGGATTCAGCACACGGACAGAATTTAAAAACAAAAGCAAATATCCACTAAAATCTTTGCCTTTCCTAAATTGCACAGTCTTCATAGAGATCAAAGGTTTGTACATTCATTTAGCAACCATGGGAGAATTTTATGTGGCATTCTAGTTTAACAGGGTTATGATGGAGCAAATTTTGATGCAAGCGAAGTATTGCCAGGGTTCCTACTCTTTTAACAAAGCAAAAATTAAGCACTTTTAAGGACCTTTTTTTAAAAAAATTAAGTACTTTTTTGAAACATTAAGTACTTTAAAAATGGTACGATTGTTTATCTTCGAATATACATATACTACCAGTGACAGTGTCAATTGTTTACCTTTCTTAAAAAAAAAAAAAATAACAATTAACAATTTTATTATAACGTAAGCATTGATATAATTGTATAAATAAACAGGGCTCCCCAAGGAAATTTTTGCGAACACGGGTCGGGTTTTTTAAAAACATTTTAAGATTGTTAAAAGTTAACATCATCTATGAAACTAATCTGTATTCAACTTTTAATGATTTCATCAAGATTGAATAGTAAAATTAAGTGCAGAAATTAAGATTTGCAATTTTTTTCATGTATATTAAAAAGAGTAAATAAAGAAATTTGACAAAAACATTGCAAAAATTATTAAAAGTTTTTATATTTTGCTACTAGACCAGGAAATGTGTTATATTTACTTTTATGATAAACTTTACACAAAATTATTTCCAGCAAACCTATCATTAGGAATTAGCATTAATCTTACTAAACATTCTGGCGAAAAACATGAACTGATTTCAAAGCAAACAAAATTTGAATAAAAATTAAAAACAGTATATTAAGTTGAAATGTTAACTGAATAAAAAGATTATAAAATCTAGGAATCTTTTAATTGAGTAGATTTAAGCTTTTATGTAACAATCTGCTTATCCTTAAGAAATAAAAATAATGGCGTAACAATCTAAAAATTTAAAAAAAAATTACATTGCAAAACAAATTATAAATAGTTACCAAATATTTAACTTTCTCGTTAGCAGCAAATCATGCTTTCTTATTAAGTACTCAAGAAATTTTTTTTAAATATTTTTGAAAAAACTTGATGTTTTCATCAAAAATCTAAAAAATCCCATTTTTTTAATGAAAAACCTAGGTGGGCATGGATTTTTCAAATCCTGTTTCTTACAGATCTTTTTAATTTTTAGTACAATCATGAATTTAAAAATGTTACTGCTTTCTATAAATTTAAAGTTACTTATTACATATTGAAATATTATACAAATTTATTTAATTCTTCATGATTTTAGGAAATAGTTTTCGTTATGCATTCTAGTTCAAAATTTTTTTGATACTTATTTTCTTAGTGTTTTGCTGAATTCCTATAAACAGATGCATTACCAGTAGAACAGAATTTCTTGAATTTTGAAGGTTAGTGTGGGTCTTCTACTTCGGTACCTTAAAACTGCCCCCCCCCCCAAAAAAAAGCACTATCTCTTACATGCACAGCAAAAGGCAGAAAGCATTCTAAGCAAAAGGCAGAATACAATAATAAAAGAACCAATATATTAATGAAAGGACATGTTTTCTTCCCTTTGCCTGTAGCCCCCCACAGTCATGAATTTTTGTCTCTCTAAAATGCTTTACCCTGGATGCATGGTCTAATTATAAGCGATAAAAGGACAACATTTTGTTTTGAAAATTGAACTGAAAAATTGTTCCTATCAACTGTGATGCTTAACAATTAAGGACTTTTAAAAACCTTGTATCAAAATCAAGCACTTTTAAGGTCCCTTATTTTAAAAATTTACAACTAAGCAGTTTTTAAGGACCGCAGGAACCCTGATCGCTAAATTGATGATATTTCAACTGTTTGGCGATATATTTCAGTCTAAAAAAACTGAGTATAATGGATGAAATCATTTAAATTTAGAAAATCAGTAAATAATTTAAATTAAAAAAATATTCAAGAAAAAATTTCCAGCTCTTCTTTAAAATTCCCTGATTTTTCTAGGTTTTTATCCAAATTTCCCTGATTTTTCCAGAGTAAAAAAATTCCCTAATAATTCCAGGTTTTCAAAGTTTTCCAGGTGGGTGGACACCCTGTAGAATTCCTTAACAAAACATATGTTATATTGATACATGTGATCAATGGTTATAACAATCTTTTAATATCTAGAACTCAGTGCATCATTTCTCACATATCAAACAAAAGAGAAAGAAAGAGAGTCAAACAGTTCCTCTTACAGGGTGCAAAGCCAAATCTTTTAACCAAAAATAAGCACATTTTAAGCACTAAAAGAATATTTTTAAGCACTATGCACATTAACAAAATGCAAAATAATTTTCAAAGACTTTACATGATCATGATAAAATAACTTGTTTCTGACAAAGAACTTTTTTTTTATTACATCAGCCAACATAAAAAGATAGATTTTTCTGTTCGATTTCAGAGGGTGTAAAATGAAGCCTGAAATGAGAATATCTTGCAAAATGCAGCAGATAATAATAATGATGAAGAGAAATTTAGATAAGTTTTCCTTACAAAGTTGTTGGTTTTATTTTGACACCTGTGCTCCTAGCTGGGTTAGCTTTTTCGAATTTAGAAAGTTATTATAGGCTGTTAAGATTTATTTTTTTATTAAAAAAAAAAAAACGATTTTTAGATTAGAATTGTAGTTTGGGAAACACAAGTTTCTTTGAATTATCAAAAAATAAAATAAACGTATCGAACTTCGTGTAATTGGAAAAAAAATTCAATGTTAAAACTGGAATTTTTGCCAGAGTTTCGATAAAAAGCACTTACACGAACTTCAAGTTACACATGTTTGAGTAATAAAAATTTGGACTGTAATTCATCCCCTTGGCGACATTCTTGTAGAAGATAACAGAGTTCTTAGAGAAAGATTTTTATTGGGAAGCAAAGAAGTTTGAGTTTTTTTTTTTATCTGCAGAATTTTCGAAATATTTTTTTCCTGTAGAACTTTTATCCACTTTCTACAGAATTATATTCAAAAAATGCCTTTCTCTGATATCGGAGGTGGAATGAATGTTCGTGATTTTTTTTCTTCTCTACTTTCTTTTGAGAATAAAAATATTCAGCGATGACTGGCTTTAGGTAGAATTTTAGATTGACACTATAAAAAGTAATTTCCAAATAGCAAAAATTTAAAACATTTTAACTATACAAATATTCTCCAGAGCAGGAGAATATCGCCAATAATATCAGAATATATGTTCTTTTATATTTAGGTTTCAAAAAAAAAATTTTACATTTATAATGAGAAGAATTATATACTGTTCTATTTATTCTATACATGAAGGCTTTTTTGTAATCAGAAAGCCCTTCTGTTACTTTAAAATAATAACATATATATTTGCTATCAAAAATGTCTTTCAGAAAGTTATTAGTACTGAAAAGAATTATCACAGGGTAATATACATAATAAATAGAGAAAATAAAGAGAGGGTTTGATGCATACAATTTATATTCACACACAAACATTTTTGTCTCTTTAACCAGTAGAGGCAATATTTATTCCAATTTAATTACTTTCTTCACTGAATTTGTAACTTAAAAATTATTCAATAAAACTAAAAAAATTATTTGAAGATCAAATAAAATTTTTATGCATCAAAACTAGGCGTGCACAACCAGCTTCAGTGAAGGGCCACTTGCACAGCAGGTAGATTAACGATGGGCTGTACACATATTTAGTCATGTTCGCAGCAAATATGATAATTTTGATAAAAACATAAGTGTTCTAAGCACTAAATATTTTTATCAGAAAACTTAATAACATATTTGCAGGATATTAAATACTTTTAATTATTTGAAATTTATTTTAAACTAAAAAAACGTTTCCATTTTTTACAATAATTAATTTATCATAAATATATATATATACATAAATATTGGAAGGGGGTATAAATTCTAACCAAAAACCTTACAGAATGAAAGTGCAAAAAATATGTGCACTTTATAGAGTAATATAAATTTGGATTCAAGAAAGTCTATTATGTTAAAAAAAATCTTTTTATTGCGCTCAGAAGTTCCCGCGGGCCACAGGTTAGGTATCCCTATACTAAACTATTATAAATGAACAAGAACTAGAAGCAATTATTCAATATTTAATATTAAATGTCCTTAATAAAATACTACTAAAAATGTTCAGAACACTATTATTAAATTTCTAATACGTAAAAGAAAACCTCGATAAATTAGATTGTTGTTTGTGTAAGAAGCATATCATTATGATAATTAATCAGTAATTTTATAATAGTTTTTATGCATGATTTCGAATGTCAGAGCTTCCCCCCCCCCACCTGCACCCATTAAAAAATTAAAGAACATGACAAAGCAGCAATTGATGGGATGGTGATTTTGACGTTTCTTCAGTTAAATAAAAAAATTTCAGTCATTTTACACAAAAAGGGAGAAGTTTAAAAACTTTAGTTATACAAAAGTTTCAGTTTAATTCAGTTAGTTTGAAAGTTTCTTCTAACGTTTAGTTATTTGAAATTAAAAAGACTTTGATGATATTATTAGCTTAATGCATAAAAAATTATTTTATGATTCTATACAGTAACGGTTTAGAAAGCAAGAAACAAAGAATAAAATCACCTTTTTCATTTACATAACAAATGAAAATGTTTACCTTTTCTATGACAGGCAATAAATGAAAGGGATTTGTTTGATTTTTCCAATTCTTCTGAATAATGAAAGCTTCAATTTCTATTAATGAAAAAAAAGAATCAATATAAACAATAAGAAGAAAAAAACATGGGTGTAATATAACAGATAGATATAATATAGGCTGGCAAATTTTTGACATGAGTCAGTTTTTGATTATTTAAATAACTGATAAAACCCTGTGATTTTATTTATAACCATCATTAAACAGCCAACCCAATTTTGGGTTTACAACTACCAATGTTCAACTCTGTATCCTTGTAATTTTGAACCAATCCAGAAGACAAGGAAACTCCTGGATCAATACCCTAAGAGGTATGATTTGCTATGGGAACATGGAGGACTTTGTGACCCAACAGATTTAACGTGCATCAGTCACCATTTACTACACGGGAAGAGTCCGGTTGGCGGGGATTGAACCCACAACCTCTTGGACATGGGCCCATTACCCTACCAACCAGGCTATCCCGGCCCAAAACCCTGTGATAAAAAATATGCATCGATAACTGTGAAAAACCTAATAATCACATTTATATATTGCTATATTAATATTATTATTGATATTTTAATGATATATAAAGTTTAATGTCAAACACAAAGTATTAAATTTATTATGCAATAAAACTTACGTAGAAAAGAAAATTCATTTTTATTACCTATAGAAATTTTAAATATAGGCTATTATATGTCATGAGAATTTTTTTTTTAAAGAGTCAAAGAAAAAAAATTGAATATGAAATTTCAAAGCGCAGATGTTTTATGAATGCTTAATACTAAGATATTATGAGAAGAAATTACCTAGGCTCTGATGGAAAAAGATCTAGACAGAAGAATGATTTTAAATGGGCTATCTGGAATTCTGGATGACATGAAGCAAAATCTATTGCCGAAGATAGAAGGGTTTGGCAAAATTAATTCACAGACTAATATGCCTAAGGAGTGGACAACTAAGTAATATATTTGTGGGGTTCTGTTATGTATACCAATGAGTTTTATACCATTTACAGTAATTACTTATGCTCATATCAATTTATGGGGTACGTCAAATACACAATCCTTGCTCCAAGTTAGGCTGTTGAATATGACTAGTCGAGCACAGTTCGCAAAGACTTTATTAAACATTCATCATCATAGTTGGCCAGACAGCCCAATGTGGGCCAATGCCTTCCTCTGAAGATTTCCCCAATTTATCTTTGATCTCCAATTCTTTTCATTAATTGCAAGAAAATCAGACTCCACAGAATCATCTTATCTCAATCGCAGCCTTCCCCACTTTCTTGTTCCAGTGGATTTAAAAAGCAGTATCTTTTTTATTGTATTGTCATCACTCATTTGAATCATGTGGGCCATTCAATTCATTCTATATATTTTTATGTATTTAATAATATTGGGTAGTTTATAAATCTTGCACAGTTCAAAGCTTAATCTCCTTCACCAGTTATTGTTTACACTTATACCACCAAGTATACTCAGCAAAATTTTTCTCTCTAAAATTGCGATTTAATTTCCCTCCGTCATTGTCCAAGTTTTAGAAGCATATTTATTAAACATCAACTGCATTTAATTAAAAACCAGATATATATATTACAGCTATAGAAATTTAATGTTTTTATTTTGCTTTTCTATAACAGAAAAGCTATAGTTGCTATGTAAATTCCTTAAATTCTTGTTTATCTGAAGAAGCAGAATTCAAGCTGAATTGTTTGAATTATTGCTTACCACAGTTACTTAAATTATAAGCAAAATAATAAATAGGGCTTTCAAAAACACAATTCAATATTGATAATAATATAATACAACCAATTCCGCAGAATCCCGTTTTAGAGAATTCCTAAAGACCGAAGCAATCGCTATGCAATAACGAAAATTCGTTACACCGATGTTACGAATTTCAACATTAACCAAAATTATTTTGTACAATGGAAGAAAATAATAAATATTGCATTTACTTCGATTATTTGTACTCTACATGCAAAAAATATCAAACCAATATTTTAAGAGCTCACAAAAACAATTAAATTAAAAGATCAAAAATTACATAATGCGTAATCTCTCTATACAAATGATTTAGAACCAGTAGGAATTACAAATTTCTCCTGAACTGGAAATCACTCTTTTGGTAAACCACATGTCTTCTTCAAAACATGAGTCTTTTCTGGGTTTTCCCTTCCAAGTGATTTATCTTTTTTGAAATAACCCTTTCATATCTGAATCATTTATTTTGAGGTTGCACAAATATTTGAACTTGGAGATCATTGTAAAATTTTAAAGAATAGAAAAGCATGTTTTGAGCATGAGAGAAAATGAGAATTGTTGTTTATTTTCACCTACGTTAAATCGGATTACAGACTTCGTAATATTCGTATTTTTAATTCATTATTTCTGTGGAGATTCATCTGAGGATTCGAAAAATATGAGTTACATTGACATTTTTGCTAAAACGTAAGTCAAAGTTTAGTATTGATACTGTAAAGTATAAATTAAAATACTTCAACAGTATAAATGCAGGGGTCTGTCTAAGTTTTTTTTAAAGAGGTACTTATTTTATGAAAATTTAGACATAATTTGTGAAAATTGAGACTTGTATTAACAAATCAAAGCAAAAATATGGTAAAATATTTCAAAAATTGTCCCTACAAATAAAACACATTTAAGACTGGTAAATTTCTATATATATTTTCCCCATATGATCAAAAACAATTTTGCTAATGTAAAATTTTGGGCTTGTAATTGTATCCAAATTTAAAAATCCATAAAAATCATTGTCCATAATTAAATTTCAACTTGAATTTAATAGAAACATACATTCAACAGTAATAGCACTAAAAGTTATTTTCATTATGAGAGCATTTCCCATTGGGTCATACAGAAACAAGTCTCACAGAGAAAAAAAAATGCTTCATAAAAAAATAAAGGTCTGTTAGAATAAAGTTAGAATAATGTTTAAAATAATAGCCTGAATTTCGACTTCATGTAAACTTTACAGAGGGACAGTCATGTCATTTCATTTTTAAAGACTGCAATTAAAAGTGCTCTTCTTACAAATCACGTGGGAAGCTAATTCTTCTACTACGTCATAACAGCAAACCACGGGTGGGTTCCATTGCAAATCGAAATGTGTAATTCAGGGTTGCCACAGAAAAAAATGAACTAAATAGTTGCTTTTAGTAGCCTAAAACAAGAAAATAGTAGCCAAAAACTAGGAAAATAGTTGCCTAAACAGGGTTCCCACTCTATGATGAGATTGAAATTCTTGGACCTCAACAAAATTTTCAAGGACCTTAATCCAAGACCAATTAAAAAAATTATTCTCTTCTATTTTACTAGAAGCAACAATGCTTGTTGTGGCAATAATTAATTTCAAATATAATACCTAAATGCTTTGCCTATATATAGAGAAGAGAGTATATGTATTATGGACTACCATTTATATATTTTTAAAAACAACCCTACTGGTTTTAAATATTAATTCACAAAATGATTTTGAGCACAATTTATAACTAATGGTAATGAGGTGTTAATGGTGAAGAGGGGATTTCTTTAATCCTGGGTATTTCCACGTAATGGCTGCACAAGAGAGCTAAATCTTAGGTATTCCATAACCCCCTCCTCTCCTCTATTAAACATCATTTCTGAAACTATAAAATTAATTCATCCATAATTTACACAACCTTCTCTACATGCAACAATTCTTTCTGAAAATAAAAATTAGAAAAAACACATTTATGTACCATATATAGCTTATTTATTTTATAAAGTAATGAAAGGAAGCAATACAATGGAATATTTGGTGTTGTCTCTTAAGAGATAAGAAGCAAACAATATGACTTCATTAACAAAAATTCTTAATTAACAAAAATATTCCACTTCAATCTGAGATAAAGTAATAAACATTGCACATGAATTTGACATAATATGCATTGCACTCTAATGATATAATAAAAACATTGCGTTTTAACAAAAATGTTTACAAAACAAAATGTCATCCAAGTCCAACAGTCATCTACAATAGTTGGTCGTGAAACTAACTTTATTTAATAATATTCTAACACAAAAATAAGTATTTAGCTGTGAAACATTTTTTTAGTCATAAAAACTTACATAATTACTCCATAAAAAATAGAGAAATTAAATTGAAACTTAAAGTGTCCAACCTTTTTGAATGACCCATGATTGCAATGCAAACAAAAATTAATCACATTTGTTTAATGCTTTTGTTACTTCAGTTTGCTATCAATTTCTTTTAGCTCTTGATTTTTTTCGTTAATAGCTTTTTTAATAGAATTTCATCTGATGAATAAATCAATGTTTTTCTTTCTCTCAGCTTCTTCAGTCAGGTTTTCATATGTCTTCTCCATTTGGGTAACATCAGTTTCTAAGTAAGCCCTCTTAGATCGCAAAAAATCCACCTCTTCTACAACTACTGTAATCCACTTCTTCTTCTTTCTTTTCTTCATTTTTCTCATTGTTTCGTTTTCCCTCTAGACTACTTAAATACCTTTGATGAGCCATAGACACTGATCTTCTCATATCATCAGTAATGGGTACATTGAGAATGTTTCCGTAACATCTTATAGCATCTTTAATGATTCTTTGAGAAATATATGATTCTTGTATCATATTCTCGACTTCAATTTTTTTATTGAAGGAGAAACCTCTTTCAATGGATGCTTGTCCATGTGAAAGAGTAAAAACTACTTTCATAGTATTCCATAATTTATCATAAGCCTTCTTGCTCTGACTGATAAAACTAGGTGTCTACCCTATCATTTTCTGTAAAAAAAAAAATAGAAAAAAAATACTTATTGCAAGTCACAATGGTTTCAATAAAATGCTTGTATTGAAAAATTACTTCATCACATTCTTTATCCACAACTTTTTTTTCATTCAAGTTCATCAAAAGTTTTTTTTAAAAGACTCTTGACAAGTCTCAGGCTGAAGTGCCATTTTTCTTGGATTGAAACAGGAGACATTCCTTACTAAGCAATAATTAATTGGGCATTTATTCAACAGCTTCTCCAGAAGTTTTGTCACAAAACTTCTGGATTCTATGCGGACATTAAACACATCTTTTGAGAGCAAACTGTTTCTTTTCAAAAGCTGCTAAACACAACTGTCCCCAACAAATCCTAAGGTTATCTCATTCACTAGATTGAAATTTACTTCATTGGAAAAATCAAACTTGCAAAGCTCTGCAGCAATTGAAAAATTTTCCATGGTATCTTTTTTATAAACGTTAAAAAAAGTGAACTAACTGCTTGCTTGTATTAAGTGTATCTTCAGAGAAAAATGGTAAAAGAGGTGCATCACTCTGGTAGGTCTTTAGAAAAGGTTTTATATTTTTGCTATAACCAAAAAAAAAACATTAAACATCCCCTTGTCTACACACTTTACATACGATTCAACATCTGACCATATTTCAATGGCTCTTTCTACTGCAGGGATATTTTCGAGCCATCTACATTTGTAAAACTTTAATGGCATCTTTTTAAGTGAAGACAGTGACAAAAAGTCAGAAGTCCTTGCAGGGCTGTCCTGAAACAACCAATAAAGAGAAGAAAGAATTTCATTAATATGCCATGAAGTGGCATTTTCACCATGTTTAAAAGCATTATTCATTATGTGTAATCCACAACTGCCAATGGATATGACCAGGTGGGAATATTCCTCCTTTAATTCACATTGAAGCATCTCATAGAATTTCCAATTGATATAGGGTTCATCCATGGATAATTGAAGTATTTTAGAGAGCCTTAAACCATCATTCATGCATTTGTAAAAAGAGGACAAAATATTTTCTGCAGTTCCATGACCCATAAATTGGGAGGTAAGACACCTAGTGCAAACTTTATTATCAATTCCCATATACCTTACCATCATGTCCATCTGCTTAGATTGTAGAGACTGGTTTAACGTCTCATCAAAGAGTACAGTGTAGCAATCAACATTCTTCAGCTCATTTATAAGAATCCCTTTGAAGTATGGTGCCAATCCAAAGGAGCACACATAGGCGCACTTTGTGGCAACACAAGAAAATTGTTTCGCTATACAGCCATCAGCAAACATTTTGGAGAACAATGTACTAACCCCTTCACAGGAGTTATATGAATAATTACTAGTGATGCACTTGAGACTCCAGAGAATTTCAGCATCAAGCACATCCCCTTTGACCACATAAGAAGACAATGTTCTTTATAAGCTGGATTATCCATCCATTGGGTAATAAAATAGCACTTCCCAGGCATAACTAGTTTAAACTACATAACACAAATACGAAGCCAACCGAAATGACGCCAACGTAAGGACAAGTGTGGATGGTAAAAGGGCAAATTTATTGAAAACTACAAGGTATATATTGGTACAAAATTCGAGAGTATTCCAGTTTCGATTAGAAAAAAGGACGATGTAAGCATATGCGACAGAAGATGAAGTGGAGTCCTGCCTCAGACGCGTTGATTGGCTGCTGTGCTCTGCGCGCTTGGCCAGACACCAAGACGCTAGGACCGGCTAGAAACGATGGCGCCAAAAACCATGTGAGAGAGCTCGGGAACAAAACAGAAAGAACGAGAAAGATCCGCGGGTGTTTTATAAAAAGGGCCGCTGGCAGTATTAGATGAATTCAAGGACCAAAATTTAGCAAAAAAAATTCAAGGACTTTCAAGGACCGTGGGAACCATGCTAAATAAGAACAAAAATTCATCAAAAATATGACTAATGTTTTGTTAATGAAAACTCAAATTTGCAATTAAAAATTTTTTAAGGAAAAAAAAAGTTTAGTGTGTTTAGAAACTATCTTGTGGGGTGCAGATTTTCCACCCAATTTATACTTAAAAAAAACATTGCTAGGAGTACAGAAAAGTCTCTCTTTTCCTGAAAATAGTTGCTTTTTTAGCTTTTTCAGGCAAAAGAAGTTGCCATAGTCGCCACATGCCAAAAATAGTTGTATTTCAGTCGCCTGTGGCAACCCTAGTAGTTAACTCCAGTTTTATTGTTTTAATGAAGATACCACAACAAAATTTTAAAAGGCAGGGGGGGAGACAATTTTAGAACTTGCTTTTTTAAAAGTACTTTGTGAAGGTACTGATTAAAGGTAGTAAATTTGCCCTGGACAGACCCCTGAAATGATATTGGCACCTTTTCCATGCAAAGTACAAATACTTCCTTTTGACATTAGTTAGACATTGGTTGAGACAGGAATTTATCCTCCATATTGCTTAGTACCAGGAAGTGAAAAATTTCATAACAGTAAAATTTGTTCCTTTCTATTTACAAAATTAAGAAAATATAAATCAAAATAGTACATACCTGTTGCTCTTGAAGTATTTAGAAAGCTTTGAAGAGCAAATTGTGAAAACAAATTCAGAGAATCTACATCAATAGTACTACAAGTCCATAAGCAAAAAAAAGCTTGCAATCTAGATTTAAAATGAATCAATCCATTTTTAATTTAATCACTTAATAGCAATACAGAATACAAATACGTAAATAGCATATCATTCATGGAAGCATATCTGAATTGAGGTAAAAGAATATTTTTTTCCTTTAAGTTTCAGCTTCTCTGAAACTAAGGTAAAATTTAATTCTTTAAAGTAAATTATAATTACAGACAGACCTTGAAATTATGATTACTGAAAGAGACATTAAATATTTTACAACCACTAATGTTCAACTTCGTAGCCTTGTAATTTTGAACCCAATCCAGAAGACAAGGAAACTCCTGGATCAGTACACCCAAAGGTATCGATTTGTTTTGGGAAAAAGGAGGATTTTGCGACTTGACAGATTTAACGTGCATCAGTCACCATTTATTACACGGGGAGTCTTCAGTCGGCGGGGATCGAACCCACTACAACTAGGACATGGGCCAAGTGTCCTATCAAACAGGTTATCCTGTCCTAAAATATGCCATATTTGAATATTTATCCTAAAATGCCACATTAATGATGCCAGTAAACGGCTTTCACAAAATTTCATTTATGCACTGATCACTTTTACAGGCAGACTAACTAAGAAATAAAAAATGTGAAACAACTACAAATGTTTGCACATAACAATAACATACAGGGTGGTCACTCAAATCAGGTTTCAAATTTCCCTGATTTTTCCAGGTAAAAATCTTAAAATTTCCAGGTTAACGTGTTTTTTTCCCCATAAAGTATAGGATGCATACAACAAAAGTATCAAATTTGTAAAGTATTGTATTCAAAATGATATTATTTTAATATATCATATTTAAAAAATAATTAAAGTACATTTATTTTAACTTAGCAAGATTTTTTTTTTTTTTTTGTTTGAATTTTTAATGTTTTGGTACAAGTTGGATGTGGTGAAATTAAGTTGGATGTGGAGAAAATAATATGTTTAGTATTTAAAATAATATGTTAAAATAATATGTTTAGTATTTGATTGAATAAAAAAAAGTTTAATGTGAATGTAATTTTTACACCAAGTGCACCGAATGGCAAATACAGGGAGACTCAAAAAAAAAAAAAAACTTTGACAAGTATTGTTTAACATATTTTCATAAGGGATGTAATGAATAGTGATTTGGCAAAATTGCTGAATACCGAATAGTCAGCCAAACAAATGGTCTGAATACCAAATATTTGGTGGCCGAATAGTAGCATTTTTCTTTTTAAAAAAATCATTAATATATATTATTTTTTACACATAAATAAGTTTAGTCATTTCTGAAAATTTATCAAAACTTAGCTATATTATTAGTGTGGAGTAAAGAGAAAAAATTAGAAAAGTTACCTATTAGAAATATTTAAGATAAATAAAAACTAACTAATAGCTACAAAAAAAAACTGAAGTTGTAAAGTTGAATAAAAAAGAAACAGAGAAATAGCAAAAAATATTCTCTTCATTTTTAAGACAAAACTTTAATGCTGAAAATAGTACTTTCCAAAAAAAAAAAAGTAAACATAAAACTTAAAAAAAAAAAAAAAGTCTACCAGAAAAGCTTTTAAAAATGCCCACAAAAAATTTTACACAAAAGCGAAACATAAAAAATAAAAATCTATCATAATTAAACTGAACAGATGGACTATCATATTTTAAATGGAACATCTGTTTTCCAACTATACTGCATTTTTTTTTCAAAGGGTAGAAAAAAGAAATAAGTCTAATAGAAACTCACTTAATTGCTCCACCATAATAAAACTCTTGATAAAAACCAAAGTTTTTTAAAAGAGAAAAACCTAAATAGAAATGAAAACAAAAATTGTTCTTAATTTTTAGAAGAAAATTTAACGCTTTTTCAAGTAGTCGTGATCAAAATAACGTTCTTCAGAAACACTCTTTAAAAAATACTGTATCATAATAAAAACTTTGATAAAAAGTTAATAAAAAAAAGGCAAAAAAGAGACAGAAAAAAAAAGCATTCTAATTTCTTAAAATAACTTTAAGGTTGAGAATTGCGGCATTTTTTTGCTACCAGCTGTGCTACCATACTAGAAAAAAGTAAAAATAAAAGAATAAAATCCATCATAAAATGCTCAGTTAAAATGCTGTGATATAATCAAAACAGAAAAGAAAACAATCTAGATTCTTAAAACAGAAATTTTGCTTTTTCATTTATCTTCCACAACATAATTTTGCAAGCACATGAATATTAAAACTTAACAAAGATGCATAAAGACTATATCTGATAATGCATAACAAAAATATTATTTTAGATAACTCTATTTAATCTATTAAAACTTTGTCAAAAAATACTTGGCCGAATATTCGGAAAGCAGGCCGAATGCCGAATATTAATCAAATATTTGCCGCATCTCTAATTTTCATTAAACAAAAAAATAATTAATAAAAAACAATAATTTCAGGCGATTATGCATGAATAACTTTTTATATTTACTTACATTTTGTATTGTATTTAATCCAAATAGTACTCTTTGTAAAATTCATTGATCATATTTTCTTTGAACCAATATCTAAAGTCAAATGTTCAAATAATGTTTTCACACACGATAAGCAGTATTAAAAAATTAATGTCACAACGGCAAAATTGTTAAATTTCTTATTACATATCTCATAGAAAAAAACTAGATAAATTCTTTATATTTTATTCCTTTCTAATTTGAAATTAAAATATTTAAAGAATTCCTATCTAACAAAAGGATTTTTTAGCTTAGAGTAGTTAATTTTTTTGTTTGCTTATACAACTAGAAACCTGCACAATGCAGAACAAAAAAACAGTTTCATTCTCCTTCCTAATAAACACATATGAATAAAAAATTTTATATCCTCTGTTTATACAACATTTAACATGTTTCCTACACATTCCCTAATTTTTACCAGCTTCTTAAAGTAAAAGGAGAAACAGTTTAGGAAATATCATCTCTGGAAAAAGAGTACGAACTTTCGACATTGTTATTACTACACAATGTCAAATTTTGAATTGGACATTTTAAATCAAAAGTCTTAATTTTGAATTAAAAATCAAATATTTACCAACAAAATGTTAATATAACCATGTTAACATATGGTTGATCCTTAAAAGAACCTTTTTTTTAAAATATGTTATAAATTGTTAAAATAAAATCAAACAAATTAGCATTAAAAATTGTACGATTTGTTGACAAACATTGCTGTTCGCGATTGTAAGAAAATATGTGATTTGATTGGCTTTGCTGAAAAAAATTCACAGATTTGGATGGGTGTACAAAAGCTTTTAGAAAAAGAGTATAACATAAAATCTATTAAATTATGACCAACCAGTTTGTGGTGAATTTTATGAAATTAAAAATACTAAAACATTCTTAACCATTTAGTCAAAAGAAAGAAAAAAAACTTAAAGCATCGGAACAAACGATAAATGGATTCAACCCACGGTTTAGAATGGAAACAAATGCTACTTTTATAAACAGAAGCAAATATCTTAACTCCTTCTTCAACCCCCACCACAATTTTTGCCTTTCCTAAACTGTCTCCAAAAAGCTTTCTCCATTCATTTAGCAATCAGGGGTTTTAGGTGGCATTCTAGTTTAACAGGGATTAATGGAGTAAATTTTGACACATGCAAAATATTGCTAAGTTGATATTTCAACTGTTTGGCAATAAATTTCAGTTTAAAAAAAGTTGGTATAATGGATCATAAAATAATTTAAATTAAGAAAATCTATAAAAAAATTCCAGCTTTTCTTTAAAATTCCCTGATTTTTCTAGGTTTTTATTTAAATTTCCCTGACTTTTCCAGTGTAAAAAAAATTCCCTGATAATTTCAGGTTTTCAAGGTTTTCCAGGTGGATGGCCACCCTGAACATAATAATACATAAATGAAATTAAGCAATTATTTTTCTTTTTTACCTTTCAGTAGAAATGTCACCATCTTTAAGGGTAAAAATATCTGCAATATATGAAAATAAGAAATTTTGTATCAAAAATATATTTATTATTCGTGTGAAAAGAAAAATAAAATATAAGAGCTAAATTTTAAAAAAAAATGCACACATCAAGTTAACTTAAGATAACAGATACATAAATAAAATTTATAAGAAATCAGAAGTTTTTAACTAATTTAAATAAAATTTAAAATAGAAATCAAAAAAGCATTGAACAGAGTTAAGAAAGTGAATCAACTTGGTTGTTTCCGCCTTTAAAATGAATATTTAACTTTCAACATAATCTTACCTAAATTTACAATGCATAGTAACTTTACGTTTTTATTTTAAAACTTTAATTAAGTATGCACACAAATTTTGACGAAAGTCGTGAGGACCTTGTGGCACGAAAAACAGTAGCGAGGAAATGGTTGTATTTTTAAGAAAAATCGATCTTATTTGATAAGGCATAAAAGTTACCACATTTAATTAAGTAGAAATATTAAAAAAAATAACTTAGAACTACATGGTTAAAATAAATAAATAATATTTTAAATAATGAAATATAACCAGCACTCATCTTTTCTTTTATTATTGTGATTAGCAAGGGGAAAAAAAAACATTCTTTTATAAAGATTGATGAACAAAGATCTCACAATGAGAAAGGAAGATTGATTTTAATGTTACCTCGATCTGAAAGCTTAAAAACGTGGATTCCAGCCTAAACTTGTTTTATTTCTCAAAGGACAATTCCTAAGAGGCTTCTGCCCTCGTTGTCTTGGATTTTAAATTAAATTTTCAATTTAAATTTCTCAATTATTTTCGCTTTAAATAAGATTTTGGTGATAGACGGTGATTTGATAGCAGCGTATCTTTCAGATACAACTAAAAATAAAGGTATTACATTTCATTTTAGGGGAAATGGTGCTTGATAATTTTCAGAATAGATTTTTGAATTCAACTAAAATTATGCAATTTATAGTTTTGAGTAAGTCACTTAAAACTACACAATCACCATCTTTCACGTTTTTTTTAAAAAAACTATCAGTTTAATCTAATGAAAAACCGATTCAGATGCTAAAATGCTTTCTTTCTTTCTTGACATTAATGTAGGGCAGTGTTTCCCAAACTTATGACTTTTCCCTACCCTTTATAAATTTTTCGTAAAGCTGTGTACCACTAATATAAAAATTAACGTATTTTTTACTATAAAACAATTTCACAAAAGTTAAAAATCTGTTGACACCATTGATTATTAACTAGCTGTTGACACCATTGATTATTAACTAGCTGTTGACACCACTAATTATTAACTGTTAATTCTGAAAAAAAATAGCCCATAGAAAAATACATCATCACAGATTTTCATGGTTAGCCTCGTTTTTAAATAAAAAATTTTGAAATTTCCGTTTGTTGCAAGATATTTCGCATAAGAACGCGAACCCCCTCTAAACTGTTCCCGTACCCCTGGGGTACAAGTACCACACTTTGGGAAACACTGATGTAGGAGAATGTAGAAATCGACAATGTCACCCTTCATCTATGAAAAAGTACCCCACCATAGAATCGAGTTAACAAGTCTTAAGTGAATTGGACTTATATATTTGTAGTGGTACATATGCTACAATTAATTAGGCTAAAATGAAGATATTTATCAAAACTCACAAATGTTTAATATTAAATTACCTTTTGAAAAATGCTTAGTTGCAGAATTTATAGGAATAATTTTATCGGAAAAAGAAAATTATTAGAATAAAAAATACTGCCTTACATTTTAAATTGTGAATGAACGACAGTCTTGTATTTTACATGATTTTGAAAGCTACCGGTGTTGCCACCATCAATATTGTTTTTTTTAAAGAGGACTCAGAGCATATTTATAATTTTCTTTTCTTCCCTTCTTATTTATCTTGACACTTTCAACAGTAGAGTTTGTTCAGGAGGGCCTCTTAAAGAAAGTTGTTGCTGTCATAGGCTATTAAGGAAAAGGGTGTGATTGTTTTCCAGTAGTGCCATCCAGGGGCAAAAATTCAACTTCTGTCACACCCATTTATAGGGCAGACCCATTCATACATCCACAGATCATAATTTTGACCTGACGATCAATCTCCAATTTCAGAGATATAATTTGTATTAGAAACATTTAAAAATTTCTTTTTTGCATATGGTCTAAGCAGACAATATGGAAAAAATTAGGACATTATGTTACTGGCCAGTTATAGCATTCTTAACAGAAGCCACTTTTAAACTTTCACAATTTTTTTTTTTTAAAGGATTCAAAAAACTTTTAATATAAGGCAAAACATTGAATAATATATGGAAAAATAATAATTTGATAATAACAAAGACCAACTAAATAAGGATCTACAGCCAATTGTATGCAATTTACTCAAATTAAAATTGTTCTTCAGTTTTAACAGAGGTTCCCACTCGATTTCAGAAGAAAAAAATTCCTGACTTTTCCAGGTATAACTGGTATATTTCAATGGAAATCTATAGCCTATTTTATCTATACCATGCAATTTTTCAAGGGAAAACTTCATTTATAATGTCAAAAATTAGATTTTGTAAACAAAAACATATAATAGAATGAGCATGGAAACACGAAAAAGTGGAATTTTATAAATTAATAGTAGTAGATGTTATACTTATTTAACTGGAATCTCAATAATTGATTACTGATATTGACAATTCTAAGACTATAATATAGGAATTTTCCAGGTTGTATTTTTCTTTTTTTTTTTTTGTAAAAATATGCAACTCCTTCTTAATATTCCCTGCTTTTTAGAGTTAAAATAAAATTCCCCAACAATTCCAAGTTTTTCCTGACCCAGTTTTAATTTCTGCAACCTTTTTTGCTTTTATTTCACAAAGGAATAGAAGCTGGATATTAAAATTCATTCACAAAGAAAATTAAGGAGAATAAAAACTTTTGGCATAATAAATATGAAACCTACTTACATTGGAGGAAGTTTTCAACAACCGTTTTAGATACCTGAAAATATCAAAAGAAAATGTTAGGCACATAATCAAAAATCATTAATCTTTATCAATAAATTTTTAACAGTTTAAAAATCACTTATGATTTATTTCATCTCACTGCATTCTTTATAATTCAAATTCCCTTTATTTTAGTACATAAAGTTAACACTGGTTTAAGTGCAAGCATGTTGCATAAAATCATTATTTTCAAGTCCTTCTATCTTGCAAAATTTTAATGTTTTTTTTTATTACTTAATATTTCTTGCGATTAAAGTACCAGTGATTACTATGGTTGAAAATAACTTGCCCTTTTCAACTTTTGCACCTTTTCCCTCACTTCTTAAGAAATAATAGAAAAGTGTATCTGCGATTTTGAGTATGTCATGATCATGCAATTATTCACATACTTCACAGGGTTTCCACTCAATTATTTCAGAAAAAAATTCCTTGACTTTTCCAAATAAATTTCAATGTAAATTAAGACCCTGTTTCATATCTGCCAACTTTTAATCCTTTCGAGGATGATTTGTTAAATGGAATTGATATTACAATTTTATGCAGAAACATACATTACATTTTGAAATAGCTTATGCGGGCTTCCACGATTGTATTAAGGTGATCTGGGGTAATTCCTGATCAAAAAATGCAAACAACTATTTAGTAAAACTATTCAAGATAGAATTATAATATTTACTGGAAGTTTGATGCTATGTGAGATGAGTCCTAGGCTACCTTGTTTTGTTTGAAAATTTAATTAGAATTTAATATATTTTAAATTTTTAGTGACCAGGAATTACCCCTTCTCTTGATCCTTTCTGGGGTAATTCCTAATCACTTCTGGGATAACTACTGATCACCAGTTTCAATCATAAAGGGGCTGTTTAAAAATAATTATATAGTGGTAATTAACAAATAAGACATCAAGATCAAACAAATAAACCAAAAATATATGTTTAAGCAGCTAATAAAACGATTTATTTAAAAAGCAAAAATAAAGGTTAAAACTTTAAATTTTCCAAAAATCTTTATATCGTGCCATACATTTTAGGCAAGCAGTCAACTCATTCTCATGTTCTGCTGGAATATAAGAAAGAGTTCTCACATGGGTTACTTTTACTGGATTTCAAAACTTCATTAAGGTAGAGTGTAAAGTTAAGTGAGGTATGTCAACAGCTCTGGTAGCAGCTCTCACACTGAAATTTTCATTTTCAATCATTAAAAGAAATTTACTAATTAAGAAACTTTAATTACTAGAACTAATTTTGCTTTCTAGAAGCTTAGTATCCTTTTTATGCTTATAATTTCTCACCATATTTATATTAGGCTAATTTATAAACTTGTAAGACAAATCGGAACACATTTGTCTAGTATACGGTTAAAAACAAATTTTGTGATTAAAATGAGTTAAAAAATATTTTATAGTCGTTCCACTTGATAAATATGAACTGTTACTTAAGGAAAGACAAATAGCTATTTATTAGCTTATTTTAATACTATTTATGAAAAGAAATGACAATGATCAGGAATTACCCCATCTGTAGGGGGCAACATTTGATATAGTTTCCTATAATCAATTATAATGTTTACAGTAGATGTGAAACAATTAAACCAGAGCTTACACTATTTTCATATCAAAGAAAAAGAAAGTAACTCANAAGAAGACATTCACAGAAAGCAGTTTAAAAGATACTTATTTTGTTAGATTGAACAAAAAACTATTATTAAGCAAAAGTAGTAATACCTTAGTAAAGAGTACAAGCATTCTTGTCCATGTCTCAAATTTAGAAAAAAATTATTTTTTTAAAATAAAACTTAGGTGATCATTATTTACCCCATAAACAGAGTGATCGTGAATTACCCCGGGTCACCCTACAGATTAATATACATACTTAATTTTTTAAAAATAGTGGTGGTCAAAAAAATTATAAATTAAGTTTATAAATGCAAGGAATATATAGAAAGCATACACTTTAAATATAAAAATGAAATTTTACGCCAAAAGCGTGAAAGTTGGCCGGTATGATATTTTCATTAGAAAGCTTTGAATCTTTTATTTGTAATGTGAAATATTAGATTTTGTGTGTGAAAAAAAAAACATTAAATGAAAGAAGAACACATTTCAGTTGGACTAAAATGTGAAAATTTTACAAAAAATAATTGTTACAGATGTTAGAATTATTTAACTCTAATCTCAATAACTGATTACTGTTACTTACAATTTTAAGACTGGTTATTTTCCAGGTATATTTCTGGTTTTTGTAAAAAAAATTGCAATTTTCCCGAACTATTCCCTGATTTTTGGACAATTCCAGATTTTCTTTGTTCTTCCAGACCAGTGGGAACCCTGATTACATATCATTATAATATTGTCAAAAATTCAAACATGAGAGATTTAAGGAAGTATTTTTGAAAAATTACAAACTAAACAATTTTTTTTTTTAACAACCTACGTCAAAGTCAGTCTTAAATATTTACACAAGTCTTTCTTTCCTAACACATTTGATTATATAAACATATCCCCTGTTTAAGAATTTTCTTGGGCTTTTTGTGACAAACTTCCTCAGCACTAATATTTGGCTTTAAGATACTTTTAATTATAACAATTACTAATTTAAAGTAGTGTTTACAAAAGAAAGTATAGACTAAAAATTTTTAATTGTGAAAGTAATATTTTTTAAATTTCAATATTATATGTGAATTACTCGCATTTTGTAGGCTGAAAAATGCACTCATTATTTCCTCTTTCGTATTTTGTAAATCATTACACAAATTAAAATTCGTACATAAATTAAACATCGTAATTTGGCAGTAACTGCCAAAATAAAGATCACATATCACACAAATAGGATTCTTTAAAAAAGAGATTCTTAAATAAGTGTGTGTAAGATATGGTGTTCTTTAAGGGGAAAAATATTATAGAAAGAACATAATTCCTAGAACAAACTTTGTTTTACACTTTGGCGATTTCTGAATTTTTTATTTTAGATTATTATTTCGAAATTCTAGCTAAAGCCAGTCATTACAGATTTTTTTAAAAAATCTCAAATGAGAATAGAAAAATCATGATTATTTCTCTCCACTCTGATGCACAAGAAATACATTCTTGAAAAAAAGACTTTTTTCAAGAAATTATACAGAAAGGAAATCAAAAATCCTTCTTTTCCCAATTGAAAAATCTTTCTGCAAAAATTCTGTAATGTTCTGCGACAATGTCGCAGAACATTACATGTCGCCCCAATTATTAATATTATGGATATAGCATGTCGCCCCAATTCTGCCAAAGGGAACATATCACATGCATTTTATATTATTTTAAAAATAGAATTTTTGACAACTCCATGCTAGTTCAACCCAAAGAACTGAAAAGATACAAGGGAAAAAATAAACTATCATCGAAGCATAACAAGTATTCCCTTTTAACTCCCATTCAACAGAATTGATATTTCCTCCTTTTAATATACAGTCAGAGTTCTATTTGACGAACTCCCACTTTGCAAATTTCTCTATTTTGCGATTTATTTTTGAAGAACCAAGAACATTTTGGAAATTTCTTCATAAAATAACTTCCAAATAGCGAAGTAAATTTTTTATTTAACGAACTTTATTTTGAGAACAACTTTCCCTATTTCAAACCTTTTGACGCATGACCTTGGATTGTTTTTCATACACACTTAACTTTTAGAGAAAGCAGTAAAATCTTTTCCCTTTTAGTTTGCATTTCATACCAAAAAACTCAGACAATATTAACGGATTTCATCCACAGCAATTAGACTTAACGCACGTGGTACTTTAATTATAAGTGCTGCTATAATTTTATACATAAATTTAGCTTTTTTTAGTTGAAAATGTATGTAGCATGTACTGGATAATGTTTTGCTCTATTCTTGCTTTCCATGCAGATTTCTTTTATGGTTAAGATTCATGATATAAATAGTAGATACCACTTTACACGATAAAGATGTACCAATTGCTATTTTAATTATGTCTAGTGTTTAGGAATTTATAACCTGTTTTGCATTGTTTAAGTATTTCAAAACGAAATTTGCTAGATTTTTTCATATAATGAACTTATTTTACTTTATAACCATCGTTGAACAACCAACCCAATTTTATGGGTTTACGACTACTAACGTTCATCTCCATAGCCTTGTAATTTTGAACCCAATCCAGAAGACAAGGGAGCTCCTGGAGAAATTTTGCCTTTGTGGAGGACTTTTATAAAGAACTTATTATCGGGATTTAGCGATTTCGATAAATAGATGTCTGACTGTATTAGAATTTTACCATAAGGTTTTCTTCACTTTTGGCACTGAAAGTGTAATGCAGGAAAACTACTGTCAGGGGAGATGGAAGCAGAACACATGCTAGTTTTGAACATTTTTTCTATAAAATTAAAATTTTTTTCTTTTAATATTTTAGTTTTTTTTCAAAAATTTTTTCTTTAGGTAAGGTTAATAAATTATGTAGAATTACAATTTAAAGCAAATAATTATACAGCTTTTCTTAAATTCTTGGGTTTTCAACAAATGACTTTGTTCTCCCAATGCATGACATTGCACATGACTCAGTAACAGAGATAGGCGAGTATTAGGACCTTCTTAATAACAAACAGGGCCATTGGGGAAAAAAAATTTTAGGCCCCTATAACGCATAATACTGTTTAAAATTGAACTTAAAAAAAATTTCACATAAAACATTTCCAAGATATTTAATAATTTTAATAAACTTAAATACATTTTGATTAACCCAAAAACACAATGCACATAAAATAAAGCATTATTAAACTATGCATAATTTAAAAAAAAACAAAACAATTGAGATGTTAACCAGTTGCAATCCTCAAATAAAATTATTTTTAAAACCAAGAAGCTAATTAAAATAGTTAAATAAAAAAAAAACATAAGGGTATAAAATATAAAAATTCAAAAGGTATGAATTATTTCGTCAGTTATTAAAAGTAAAACATCTTTCAATGCACATCAGATACAGATCAGTTTAAAAGTTTCTGTCCCTTACTGCTGTGTAATTCAAAACTCCTTCAATTAATACTTTACTTAATAAATTATAAATACTCAACAGAGTTGGTGGTGATTAAACATATTTAGAGACATTATGACTCCCAGAGTCGAATATCTAAAAACTTAAATTTAACTCAGAAAAATAGATTTTGGTTCACTTTTTAAGGTTTCCTGGTGATAAATTGTTCAAATTATACTGGTGTTTGCATGCTAATCAATCACTATTTATAAATAAAAATGCATACTTTTCAAACAAAAATATATTTATTTAAAAAAATATATAATGCAATGTTGTTTGCTCTTGTATTGTATTTTATAAAACATAAGATTCTGAAGGGAGCTGCCCAGGTGTGCCCCTGCGTAAAGACGTTACTGGTGAGTATTAATTTTTTAGATATTATTTATGAAATGATACAACCAAGTATGACTCACAAAAGCATGATGCTTCAATTATCCGATACATATTAATCTTTATATAGATCGAAAATAAAAGTGTGGGTAAAAATTTATTAAGTAATGATTAAATTATAGATTAGAAATTAAATTATTATATATTAAATTATAAAGAAATGACTAAATTATAGGCAATTATTAATGTGATTTTGAAAGCCCTGTGTTTTTACTATATTATTACGACATGCGAGTTTCAAATCACATTTAAATAATCACCCATTGATAGAACTTATTTGAGTACATTTCATTGAATTCCTTTAATTTAATTTATTTGTACACATTTCCTTCCAAACGAATTATTGAAATTCCCTCAATCGTAAATAAAATAAAATACCTCTTTTAATTCTGACATTTCCTCAATATTTTCATTACAGCAGTTAAAAGCTCTCTCAATAATGCTTGACATCAAACCTGAAAGACAGTGAAACTATTACATTAAAAATAAGTATTTCATGATATAATTTTTAAAACAAATAACAACAAAATTTTAATACATTACTGAATATTATACCAATTGAAATTTATAAGTTCTCAAGGATCAAACACAAATAAAGAGAAGAAGAAAAAAAAGAAGACATTCTTAACATATACTTTTAGAACCCTTGTTAATATAGTACACAGGGGTCTGACATTTTGTCAAAGGTCCGTTTTCGTAAAATTGTGAAAAAATTACTCGCAATTTGTGAATACAAAATAAACCTTAAGTCACATTCTTTCAACCAGGGTTCGTCTTTGTGAATTTGGGCAAATACAGGGCTGCCATTGGATGAAAACAAGAATAATAGTAGCTTTAGTTGCATCATATATGAAAAAAAGTTTCCTAAATAGTCTCCAAGATATATAAAATAGGTGCCAACATCATATCCTCCTCTAACATAATTTTAATTATTTGTGCTATAAAAGTATAAAATTCAAATAATATGCAGTTAGATACTCATATTTTATAAAAAATGTACATTTATTTGTGGATTTACCAACAATATATAGATAGAGGAATGTTGAAGGAACTGCTGTAGAAAACTTCCAAAATTTTTGAACATTTTAAAAATATCTATTTTTAGTTTTATTCTTTATGAGGCATAAGGCTTCAGATATCATATAAGAAACAATAGTTGTAATTAAAAAAAAATATTGAAAAAAAAGCTAGACTAAAAATTTTAGGCATTATAAAAAATGAAGTAGAAATGACCTTTACTCTCATATATGAATTTTTTTAACCTTACTATAAAATAAAAATTCAGTATATAATAATCAAAATCTGCATTCTAAAAGTACTTAAATAATTTTCAACAATAATATGAAAGGAAAATTATTATATAGGTGCAAATAAATTAAAATTAAGAATATTATGATTGAAAATGAAGTGGGAAAAAAACACACAATGTTGTATAAAATGTAAAAATTTATTATTTTTTTAACATTTTCTTGGGGTTTTTAGTATAGATATCAATTAAATTTGTTTTCTTTTTATGAACAAGTTTATCAATTCTTCATGTTCTCTCTCTGTTACTCATAATTTTTCAGCAGCTTCATGGGTTAAACATGAATTGGCAAGCAGACACAGAAGCTGACATACTAATAAGAATTCATGTTCTGCTCCTCACACCCCCATTCAAAATGAATGAATTGAAAAACAAGTGCAGTTGCAATACTTGCCCTTGAGCCATTATTTCGTTTTGTTGGCTGTCACTATGCATTTTAAAAGAGGAATAGCAGAAATGAGAGGATTTTTAAAAAAAAGGATATAACAGGGGGAGGGAGGAAGAGTGCAGAAATAATAGAAAAAGTAAGGAAAATATGACATCTGCAGTCTCTGCATACTTCAACATTCCAAATCGAACCGAACATCAAAACAAACCGATCCAAAATTGTAATTACTTGTGGACCCTTATTCTGTCACAGTACGCATAAAAACAGGGAGTTTTATTTTTATCTGCTACAGAACAGGTGAATTTGAAACTCGAATTTCCTTTCTCGGCTCTAATTTGCAGCTGCTTAGTTTAGACATTTGAAGAAAAGAAATAGAAATATTGCAATTTAATTCATCTATCAAGTTTTTATTTTGTTTACTTTTCCTAACTGAAGCATTTCCAAATTTAAAACTTATTAAAAAAATTACGATCAGAATTCGACAAAGCGAATATCACCATTACCTTTTTTCTATTATAAATAGCTCTAAAAAAATTAACTACCCATTTTGTGTAATTAAAGACAATTTTTTTTTGCTACTTCGTTCAAATTAAAAGAGGGGGGCAAACGTAATCCTCAGAGTTATTACATGAGCAGGAAGAGCATTCACGCAGTGTGAATTCCATTAGTCTGATTGGTTAAACATGTCTGTCTTGTTTTTGACATCAGTGAGGAAGAATAAAGTTTGGATAAAACGAAAACGCGCAGGGGAAAAAAAGAGGGGAAAAGAGGGAAACTCAAGTTATTCTTAATTTTAGTCGCTAATTGGCTTAAAGTCAGCAATTTTACGCAACTCATTGCAAATTAGTTGTTTTTACTCATATTTCTACTATAATAGACGCTCTAGTTGCTATTGCTTGAAAATAGTCGCTTTAGTAGCCTTTTTAGTCGCCAATGGCAGCCCTGCAAATAGGGTCCTGTTATTGCAAAATTTGCTAAAAACCTTTTCAAGAAGTTTTTAAATTGTAAATAGATACAAGATTCTGCTCAAACAATTGCTGCTATTAAATTAGAGATGCAACATACAAATATTTGGTATTTAGCCTATACTGAACGCAGAATATTCATTTCGGAAGAAGCGTCTGCCGAAGACAAAACTTTTGTTCACATCTGTCTTTCTTTCCCCCCACCATCAAGGGAAGGGTTTATTCGATTAACAAAACAATAATGAAGATAAACAAATTTGTGAAGGGTTCGATTTAAAGATAAATTATTTTGTGAAGGGTCCATTTTTAAGTTAAAATATTTTGTGAAATTGTTAACGGAACCAAATTTCTTCTAAACAGACCCCTGGTACATAAAAGACAAAAAAGTACATATTTACAGGAACTGAGAAAAATTGAAAGATCAAATAGGGCTTTTATAGAAGATGATGAATAAAATTTGAGAGGAGTTGAAACTTAAAACCACTGAAACTGAGATGAGTTGAAACAAACTGAGGGGCTCAAAGAAGATTTTAAGACACATCTTCTTGTTTCAACCTACAATCAAAGAGGTTTTGTACCTCTTTGATTGTAGGCTGTAACTAGATGTTTCTTAAAATAATATACCTTAACAGTGATTTGTCAGACTTGGATAGATTGTTCTTAAACTTGAATATTAATATGCAATTACTAAGCTGAATATTTTTTGGCCACTTTTTAATACAAGGATTCAAAAAATATACATTGAGAGAAGTCCCTGAAGAACACTTGGTGGGTAATTACATAATGATTAATAAAAAGTTTTAAAAAATTATAAAAGGACAATGCTTTCATTCTAAATATTGAACAAATAAATGATTTCAATAGTATGCAAAAAAAAAAAAAAAAAAAAAAAAAAAAAAAAAAAAAAAAAAAAAAAAAAAAAAAAAAAAAAAAAAAAAAAAAAAAAAAAAAAAAAAAAAAA